TTCTATCAGGCTTCACGGCTCTGATCCTTCCCCACCATGGGTACGCTCCCCCTCACTAACCCTAGCTTTCGGTCTTGCTTATCATCAGCATGTTCGACTCGCTTTTCTCACAAGGAATAGAAAGCCCTGAGTCGATGCTTACGGAAAGGCGGTTGTCGCTGTGCATTTTGGAGCAGTCGGAAACGTTTGATCAGGGTGGATCTTAGGCATGTTAGCGAATTTGGTTGATCTGCTCGTCATGATATCTTGTAGGGCTGACTCCGAGGCGAACGTGGCGGCTGAAGTGGGTTTGGACGGTTGTCGATCAGTCCGCGCGGTGTAGAAAGCGATCTAACGCTCGCGACGACGGTTGCATCAGAAAAAACGTTGTTAAGAGTGACTGGATTCATTGTCGGACTGCGCATTTGAGGCGCTAGCGTGTTTACAAGAAATTAGGGTTTGAAGCGGCCATTAGCGTAACAAGAATTTAGGGCGCTTCCCCGACCTTTGGCGCCTCACACGACCGTGACTCCTTGCCATCGCGGAAATTGTTTGAGCCCTCGTTCTAAGCATGCTCGCTTTGTCTCGCTCCTCCCGTGTCTCTCCCTGCTGTTCCTGTTCCCGTTCCCCCCTCCTCCCCCCTTTCCCTTCGTGTGCCGCGCCTTCTTGTCTCCGCGTTTCCGCGTGTGTCCTCGTGGCGGCAGGTATCTCACGTGATTCGCTGCACAAGCGACGGGCAACAGGAGGAAAGAAGAAGCCGTGGCACAAGAAGCGCAAGTAAGCTTCTCCTCCGCTGTCTCACTCTCCCCCTTTCTCCCCCCGCCTCTCTGCCGCTACTTACGCGTAGCCGCTATGTGTCACAACAGTTATCAGTTTTTTTGCGTGTCGTCACAGTGTTGCAAGCGCGGTTATTGGATTAACGAGGAAAAGCGCTGTTCGCGCGATTGTTTAGTGACGGTCAGGGCTGTGATTCCAGAGTGCCGTACTGTCTGTGCATAGGGGTTTGGTCTCTAGTAGAGCTAGTCCCTGTGATCCGCGGCCGCCAGCAGGGTATCTCCTGTGTATGTGTCCTGAGGAGTATGGAAGGTGGGGAATGGAGAACAGAAGATTACGGATGGAAGACGGAGGAGCCTGGCAGCTGAATTAGCCTGTGATGTTAGGGGAGGCAGATGTCAGGTTAGAATGCTTCGTTGGTTTGTGAAGGAAGTTTGAGAATTGGAAACGGGCGCCAATAGTTCGGATGGATAGTTGCAATGTTCGTACAGGTCAATGCGTGCGAGTCGCAGCCGTCGCACGGTTCGAACAGAGGTTAATGGTGCACCCAGTGCGCGTGTCACACGCGGATCCCTTCATCTCTTTCTCATTGTTCTGTCTCCTGCTTCCCATTTCCCTCCTCCCCGTCGTCCTCTCATATTCCCTACCTCTCTCCCTACCTTCTTTGCCTCCCCCTCCCACCCCCTGCCCAACCCTCCCCTCCTCCCCCCTCCCGCCCCCCCGCTTTTTCCCCTTGAACCTTTCCTCAACCTTCCCTCTGGTCCACGTCCCTAACGCGCGCCCGCGTATGGCCAGGTATGACTTGGGTCGGCAGGCGGCCAACACAAAGCTCAGCAGCCACAAGGTGGTCGTGGGTGCACCGAGTGCGCCTCTGTGGCGCGTGGAATCCTTCTCCCGCCTTCTCACTGTCCTCTCTCCTGCGTCCTGTCCCCCCCTTCCCACCCTCTCCTCCCTCTTCCCGCAACATTCCCCACCCGTCTCCCTGCCTCTACTTCCCTCCCTGCGTCCCCATTCCCCTTCCTCCCCCCTTTCCCCTCCGCCCGTCTCGCGCCAGGTATGACTTGGGTCGGCAGGCGGCCAACACAAAGCTCAGCAGCCACAAGACGGTGCGCCGGATCCGCGTGCGCGGCGGGAACTACAAGTTCCGCGCGCTGCGCCTGGACACGGGGAACTACGCGTGGGGCAGCGAGTCGGTGACGCGCAAGACGCGCATTCTCGATGTGGCGTACAACGCGAGTAACAACGAGCTGGTCCGCACGCAGACGCTCGTGAAGAACGCCATCGTGCAGGTCGACGCCGCGCCGTTCCGCCAGTGGTACCAGCAGCACTACGGCGTGGACCTCGGCAAGAAGAAGACCAAGGCCGGCAAGAAGGAGGTGAGGGACGGGGGGAGGGTGCGGGGTGAAGGAAGGGAGGGGCGGCGGGGGTTAAACGGGGGGTTATTTGCTCAGGGGGCACTCCCCGTTCCGCCAGTGGTACCAGCAGCACTACGGCGTGGACCTCGGCAAGAAGAAGGCCAAAGGCGCCAAGAAGGAGGTGAGGGACGGGGGAAGAAGTATGGGGGAAGGAGGAGAGGGGGTTGGTGAGAGGCGAGAGGGTGCGGGGTTGGGGAACGGGACGAGAGTCGGTATTAAGGGGGTTATTAGTTGAGAGGCTTTCCCCGTTCCGCCGGTGGTACCAGCAGCACTACGGCGTGGACCTCGGCAGGAAGAAGGCCAAGGGCGCAAGAAGGAGGTGAGGGGCTCGGGAAGATCAGGGTTGAGGAGGAGGTGAAAAAGGGCTGGGAAAAGCGGTGAAGGAGTTGCCGACGACGGGGTTCGCAGATGGGTAACGAAGGGGCAAGGGGACGGGCGGCAAGGGTGGGGTTCGTGGCGGAACGGCAAGCTTGGTGGGGAGTTTGGTTAACTGAGAGGGGAAAGGTGGCGGTGAGGGGAAGCGCTGAAGGAATGGCGGTTGATGCGCGCATGCCACGACTGATTAAGCTCACTCGCGTGCCAGTTCAGGACCACGGCAATAGCTATGCTGGTACCTCCTCCATCCCTCCTGTCCCACGGCCCACCCCTCATCCCACCCATCATCCCACCCCTCATCCAACCCCTTATCCCAACCCTTATCCCTCCCCATCCCTCCCCCACTCGTTCCACGGATCCCCCTTTCCATCACCCCACCCTCGGCTGCACGGGGCAGGGCGAGGAGGAGAAGGCGGAGGGCGAGGCGGGAGAGGAGGTGAAGAAGGTGAGTGCGCACGTGAAGCGCAAGCACGAGCAGCGCCTGGCGTCGCACAAGCTCGACCCGCACCTCGAGGACCAGTTCGCCGCCGGCCGCCTCTACGCCTGCATCTCCTCGCGCCCCGGCCAGTGCGGCCGCTGCGACGGGTCAGTCACCCACTCCTGCTCCCCTCCCCCCCTCCCTCCCACTTGCCTCCCCCCTCTGCTTTGCGCTGGCTTCCAACCTTTGCTTTGATGCCCTTATGGTACTCGGCCTGAACACGCTCTCCTTGCTGCCCCTTTGTACCTGCGAGAAGCACACCTGATATATTTAGTCTGGCTGCTGATACATGTGGGGTTGGTGTGTGGGTTGGATGGGCAGGTACATCTTGGAGGGCAAGGAACTGGAGTTTTACATGAAGAAGCTGCAGAAGAAGAAGGGCAAGTCCGCCGCCTAGAGTGCTGCGCCCCCACCCCACACGTGCTAAGGACTGACGTGCAGGTTGCTTGTTGTGGTGCTAGAGGGCCAGGCAGGCATGGAGAGCCAAGCCAGGCATGCTGCTGCCCGTGGGGGAGAATGGCTGGACAGGCAGGGCCACAGGGCATAGGCAGGCCAAGGCATTGGCTAGGTTGGACAGCTGCTGTTGTATTTGTGAGATGTAACGAGGGACTCCCCCCTCTTGCAGTGGTGCTTCCCTGTGTTCTCAATGTTATGCCACAAAAGAAGTTACTTTTAGCTAGTTTTTTTCCATAAAAATCTACACTAACTCACACCTACTTGAGATTGGTCTCATAACAGGGGTTATCTGTAAGGTGGAATGCTGAATACTGATTTGGGTAGGATTTGCAAAACCTGAATCCGCACTGTAGGTGCAATGTATGAATTTCTGCTGTTCCAACATTTCCTCGATTTCGACCACAAGGTTGGGAATCCCGAGAGCGAGCATTGGTACTGCCGCCAGGGTCAGATACAGAAACGTTGACGTGGGCTTGTGCGAGTGGTTGCAAGCTTCTAGGCCGCCAGGTGGAGATTCCCTACATCCCATGCTCGCCCGTCCGTCTCTGGGCCTGGCTGTTCCTTCCGCACCTCCCGTTTTGGGATGCTGTTCGGCCATTGTTGGTGAACCCACGACGACGACACACGAAACTCCACCTTTCAACCCTCAGCTGTTCCGTTCTATTGCTGGTGTGTCTCTTGTGTGTGCTCCACACACCAAGGGGTTGCACCTAGCATTCCCTTCACGCTCCATGCTTCCAGTTGACCTCCAACCCCCGAATTCCCAACCAGTTCCCGCCAACGGCTTGTCCTGCCCAGCGCTCGTGCGTGCACCATGCGTTAGCGTGACTGTTCCCAAAGTCCCTCGTGAATGCGCCGCCTTTCTTTTTTTTTTTAGCCAAACTGAAAGGGCGTCTTGAACCGAGGTTGACTAGATTTGACTGACTGTGACCATGGCGGCGTCGCACGGATCGACGGCTCTCCTTCATCGCCGCCTCGCAGACACGGCCTCTCTCGCCTCCGGATCCTCCTCGTTCTTCGTTCCCTCGTTGGATCCTAGCTTCTCCCCGTCGTTATCGCACCGCCATCAACGCTTGTCCGTCGATTTCCCCTCAGATCAACAATCAGATCGCCTCGTGCCAGCTGGTACCAGAGCTGCCGCCGAATGCGGCCGCAGTCGATGCGCCAGAGCGGGCATATGCCATGCCGTTGTTAGCGGCGGGAACGACGGCAGCAGCGGCGGAGGTGCGACCTACGCGCGGAGCTGGCGAAACAGGGGCGAGAGCGCGCGGGCTCGAGTGACTATAGCGCGGGTGGGGATTTCGATGTCAGGGCTGTCGCTTGGCGGGTCTTATAGCGGGGGCTCAGGGTCCGTTGTAGGCAGCGCAGAGGCGCAGCAGGGATGGCAGCAGCAGCGCCGGCCGCAGCAGCAGCAGCAGCAGCAGCAGCAAAAGTTGGGGGGAAGGCGGGGGGTTCTCCCGCAAAGGCGGCCATCGGCGGAGCTGTTGTCGGAGGAACGGCGGAAGAAGGAGGTGGAACGAGCAATGCGCGAGGCTCGGGGCAAGAAGGGTGCGGAGGGGCTGGCGGAGGCATTGCAGATAGAGCCGCCGGCGCAGCCGCAGTGGCCCTTCTGGCGGAAGAAGCGCGAGTCGAGCTCCGGCGAGGCGCGCATGCTGACGCGACGCATCGTGGAGCTGGGGAAACGGCGGCAGCTGGACCAGGTAGCGAAGGGAGAGAATAGAGAAGGGGATAGAAAGGATGACTTGGCTCGCCTCGAACGCTGGGCAAAGGGCGCTAGCTGAACCAGGAAGGAGAGTGTGATAGATACGAGGGCTGGAGATATGAATCCCGGCAGTCAACACTATTAGGACTTAGATACCTAACGAATCCAGGCAGGAGAGAGGGCAGATAGGGGGCATGGAGGTGGAAATCCTGGTAGTCAAGAGGTAGATCTAGTCTTGGTGGATTAAGCTTTAATGCCTGGGCGATGCACCGAGTAGAAGGCCGACCAAGAGTCAAACGCGAGTGTAGGTTGAGCAGTTCGGATTCGAAAGGACAGTTCGACGCGACAACAGGTTGATGCGACTGTCATGGCAATGTGCGTCAGCTGCGGAGTTTGAGGTGCATTGACGCGTACCCCTTTTAATGCCAGCTAGCTGAGGTGTGTACCCCGCGCATCATCCAATCACAGTTGTTTCAAATGCTGGAGGACGCGAAGCGCAGCAGGAAGGCGGTGAACATGATCACCATGAACGCAGCCATGACGACATGTGTTAGCTGCAGTGCTTTAGGTGTGTGCGCTTGTGCCCCCTCCCATCGCGCGCAGGTGTTTCAAATGCTGGAGGATGCGAAGCGAAGCAAGAAAGCGGTGAACATGATCACCTTGAACGCCGCCATGGCGGCCTGTGTGAACTGCGGGGGTTTGGATGTGCGCGCGTACCCCCTTTGATTCACAGTGGACCCCGCACCCCATCGCACCCCATCGCGCCCCATCGCACCCCATCGCATCGCAGGTGTTTCAATTGCTGGACGACGCGAAGCGAAGCAAGAAAGCGGTGAACATGATCACGATGAATGCGGCTATGGCGGCGTGCGTGAACTGCGGCGACATCGACCGCGCGCTCGACCTCTTCGACGACATGACGGCGGACGGCGGCACGGGCGTCGACTCCATCACCTACGGCACGCTGCTCAAGGTGCGTCGCTACCTGCCTTGTTCGACATTTCGCTGCTCAAGGTGCGCTGCCTCCTGCCTTGTTCGACATTTCGCTGCTCAAGGTGCGCTGCCTCCTGCCTTGTTTTATCATCTCAGAGTTACCGCATTAGGCAACGATGAGCAACGAATGGCGACGACTCCATCACCAACTGCACACTCTGCTAAACTTCAACGTGCGCTGCTTCGCTCCGTCACCCCCCAACCCCCTTGCGCGCTCCCCTCTCCCTTCCCCCACACCCCCCCAGGGTCTAGGCCGTGCAAAGCGGTTGGACGACGCATTCGAGGTGTTGGAGGCGATGGAGGACGGCACGGCGCCGGGGCGGCCGGAGCTGACGGCGGTGCACCTGAACACGCTCGTCAACGCGTGCGCGGACGCGGGGGACGCTCGGCGCGCCATGAGCGTCGTGCAGCGCTACAAGCGCGCCTTCTCGGGGGCCATCGGCCCGTCCGCGTTTACGTACAACCTGCTGCTCAAGGTGCGCTACAGCCTGCTGCTCAAGGTGCGCTACAACCTGCTGTTCAAGGTTCGCTACAACCTGCTGCTCAAGGTGCGCTACAACCTGCTGCTCAAGGTGCGCTACAGCCTGCTGCTCAAGGTGCGCTACAACCTGCTGCTCAAGGTGCGCTACAACCTGCTGCTCAAGGTGCGCTACAACCTGCTGCTCAAGGTGCGCTACAGCCTGCTGCTCAAGGTGCGCTACAACCTGCTGCTCAAGGTGCGCTACAACCTGCTGCTCAAGGTGCGCTACAGCCTGCTGCTCAAGGTGCGCTACAACCTGCTGCTCAAGGTGCGCTACAACCTGCTGCTCAAGGTGCGCTACAGCCTGCTGCTCAAGGTGCGCTACAACCCCCGCTTACCCCACTCCCCCGCCCATCCCCCCTACTTCCTGCAGGGGCTGCAGTGGGAGCGCGTCACCTTCAACTGCCTCATCCTCTCGCTTACCCCTTCACCCCTCCCTCCCCTCCCCCGTTCGATCCTCATTCCCCGTTCAACCCTCTTCCCGGGTCAATTCCATCCCCCGTCACCAACCCCCTCCTCCCCCCCCTTCCCGCCCGCGCATTTCCCCCCCTATGCTTCCGCCAGGGCTACGCGCGGTCGGACAATCCGCTGGAGGCGCTGAGCGTGGCGGAGGAGATGCACCTGCAGGGGCTGCAGTGGGAGCGCGTCACCTTCAACTGCCTCATCCTCGCCTGCGTGCGCGCTGGGGATATGGACCGCGCGCTCGACCTCCTGCAGGACATGAAGGTGCATAGGGGGAGGGGATGGGCGCTGGAGTCATGATGGCAGGGCAGGGGACATCGGGGGCATGGGCGCTGGGCGTCGTTGGCTCAGGGGATGTTGACTCAGGGGGGCATGGGTGCAGGGGGGCATGTAGCAGGGGCTAGTGGCCCTTGTCATTATGGGGCATGGACAGTCCACACGCGCAGGTGCAGGATGTAAAGTGCCTTTTGAGGCGCCTAAAAAGCCAAGACAGTCCACACGAGCAGAGCAGGTGCAGGATGTAAAGTGCCTTTTGAGGCGCCTCATAAACTGAGGCAGTCCATACGAGCAGGTGCAGTGCAGGATATCAGTGCCTCAGCACCTGCTGCAGGCACTTGGCCAATTCCGTGTGCTATATTTGGCATGGTTTCCGAAAGTGAATGTGTGTGTGTACTCATGCCTGTGACTGCCTGCATGCCTCTTGGCAGGCGGAGGCGTTGAGGAGGGGCGACGACGACGTGCTGCCAGACGCCGTCACCTACACCACCATCATCAAGGTGTGCCCATGCCCCTCTTGCGGTCCCCTGCCCCTGCTGTTCACCCATGCCCCTGCTGTTCACCCATGCCCCAGCTGTGCCTCTGGTGTTGTTCACCCACATGCCCGTGGCACCAGCATCACCACCTCTCTCTCTGTGCTTCATCGCGCCCATTCCACCCTCTCAGAGGGCCCTCTCAGAAGCACGAGGCCAGGCAACTGCATCGATTCTACCCTCTACTCTCCCTCCCTCCCTTCCACCTTCTACCCCAACCCTTCCCCCCCTTTTCTTCTCCTCCACAGGGTCTATCGGAGGAGGGTGACTGACAGCGAGGCGTTGAGGACGTGGTGGCGGTGGCGGACATGAAGCGCGCCAGCTGTGGCTACTCATCTCATCACCTCCACACATTCAACCACTCCCGCTCTCCCTCCCACCCGAACCCTTTTCCCCCCTTCTCCCCCGCGTCTTCCCCCAGGGTCTATCAGAGGACGGTGACATAGACGCGCTGAGGGACGTGGTGGCGGACATGAAGCGCGCCAGCTGTGTGCGCAGCCCTGCCGGCCCCTCCCAGCCGCACTGCCTCGCCCTTCTGGCTGCTGAGGGGCCTTCTGGTGTGGCGGCTGTGGAAGAGGGCGTGAGCAGTGCTGGCAGCTCCGCAACTAGCAGCAGCAGCAGCGGTGGCAGTGCTGTGGCTGATGGCAGCAGTACAGGCAGCGGCGGGGGGGCGAGCAGCAATCCACTAGTGATGGATCGAGTGGCGTACACTGCCATCATTGACGCCTTCATTGCTGTCGGCTCGCCTGAAGGTGCGTGTGGGCGGTGTGTGTGGGTCCATGGAGGCTCGGGGTGCGTGGGTGCTTTGGGTGCATGGGGTGTGTTGGGTGTATGGTTGCATGTGTGTGCATGGGTGCATGGGTTCATGAATGTGTGCATGGGTGTGTTGGGTGCACGGGCGTATCCATGAGCGTATGCACAGGCTCTCCCTCACTGCCACCCGCCATCCCATCCCCCGCCTCCATTCCCACACGCCCACCTCACGCCCACCACACGCCCACCACACGCATGCTCTGCAGTGCATGGCGGAACTAGAGGAGCTGGGGAGAGCGGACCGCTCCCACCCATCCACCCTCCCACCCTCCCCCCCACTCCCCCCTTGCCCTCCAGGCGCGCTGCAGTGCATGGCAGAGCTGGAGGAGCTGGGGAGAGCGGACCGAGCCATGTACCTTCGATGGCCTTCAAGTTGACCCAAAAGCTTCACCATCCCCCTATTCCTCCCCCTCCTCTTTCCATCCCCTTGTCCCCCCACACCCATCCCGTCTTCCCCCAGACGCGTTGCAGTGCATGGCAGAGCTGGAGGAGCTGGGCTGCACGGACCGCTCCATGCGGCCGCAGCGCACGTCTTCTTCTCCCTCATGCGCTCCCTCTCCCTCATGCGCTCCCTCTCCCTCATGCGCTCCCTCTCCCTCATGCGCTCCCTCTCCCTCATGCGCTCCCTCTCCCTCATGCGCTCCCTCGCCGCCTCTCCCATCCACCCACCCACCCTCCCCCCCACTCCCCCTGTGCCTCCCAGACGCGCTGCAGTGCATGGCGGAACTAGAGGAGCTGGGCCGCACGGACCGCTCAATGCGGCCGCGGGCGCACGTCTTCCTCTCCCTCATGCGCTCCCTCGCTGCTGCTGGCGACCTGCCGTCGACGCAGCAGCTCGCCGCCCGCCTGGTGCGCGATGCGGGCGGCAGAGTGTGGCCGGAGGAGCGGGCGGAGGCGGCAGAGCTGGTGCTGGAGGCTGCCACGCGGGCAAGCGAGGTGAGCTTTGAATGGTCTCACACGGGAGTCACCCAGGGGATGGTACATAGGGGAGAGGTCCATGTTTGATGAAGAGGGCGGAGGCGGCAGCGCTGGTGTGGTGCTGAGGCTGCCACGCGGGTGGCTAGGTGAGCTTTGAGAAGTCTCACACGGAGTCACCTAGGGGATGGTACTTAGGGGAGTGGTCCATATATGATGACGAGGGCGGAGGCAGCAGAGCCTTTGCTGGAGGCTGCCACCCGGGCGGGCGGGCGAGGTGAACTTAGGGGCATCTCACAGCAAGGTCACTCTCTCCCCAGACTCACTCAGGGGATGATACCTGAGGGGAGTGATAGATAACTTGGTGAAGTGATGGGTGCATGGTACGGTACTCTCTCTAGCATGACATGGTACTCTCTCTAGCATGACATGGTACTCTCTCTAGCATGACATGGTACTCTCTCTAGCATGACATGGTACTCTCTCTAGCATGACATGGTACTCTCTCTAGCATGACATGGTACTCTCTCCGGCATGACATGGTACTCTCTCCGGCATGACATGGTACTCTCTCTAGCATGATATGGTACTCTCTCCGGCATGACATGGTACTCTCTCCGGCATGACATGGTACTCTCTCTAGCGTGACATGGTACTCTCTCCGGCATGACATGGTACTCTCTCTAGCATGACATGGTACTCTCTCCGGCATGACATGGTACTCTCTCTAGCATGACATGGTACTCTCTCCGGCATGACATGGTGCTCTCTCCGGCATGACATGGTACTCTCTCCGGCATGACATGGTACTCTCTCTAGCATGATATGGTACTCTCTCCGGCATGACATGGTACTCTCTCTAGCATGACATGGTACTCTCTCTAGCATGACATGGTACTCTCTCTAGCATGACATGGTACTCTCTCCGGCATGACATGGTACTCTCTCCGGCATGCAATCTCGCCTTTTGAGACGTCTCACGAGAGGATACCTTGCAAGGCCCGGCATGACATGGTACTCTCTCTAGCATGCAATCTCGCATTGACTGCCACGTCCCCTCCACCACCCCCCTCCCCTCCATCAGATGGGTGTGGCAGCGTGGCTGCTGGATCAAATGGAGGCCATGCACGGCCTCCAAATGCTGGGCCTTTCATTTTTGAGCTTCCACCTGCACCCGTGCAACAGTAGAGCATTGCAGTGGACTTGAAAGTGGTGCCCTCCCCCCTCTTCCCCTCCCCTCCCCTGCTCCTCCCCCCTGCATCAGATGGGCGTGGCAGCACGGCTGCTGGATCAAATGGAGGCCATGCACGGCCACCAGCTGCGCATGTCCCTCCGCGGCATGCAGGTGAGCGCACATGCAGGTGAGCGCACATGCAGGTGAGCGCACGTGCAGGTGAGCGCACGTGCAGGTGAGCGCACATGCAGGTGAGCGCACATGCAGGTGAGCGCACATGCAGGTGAGCGCACATGCAGGTGAGCGCACATGCAGGTGAGCGCACATGCAGGTGAGCGCACATGCAGGTGAGCGCACGTGCAGGCAGGAGCTGGGCAGGAGGTGAAGCGAGAGACCACGTCATGCCAGGTCTTTCCAGGAGTGCATGCAAGTCAATGGGGTGAAATGTCACTGCATGCATGCTGCCTTGCTCCACCAGAGCATCAACCAACATTCCGTTCCTTCACCCGCTGCATGCCATGTGATGTCACCCATGTCCATGCCAGCGGAAAACCGATCTGCCGTTGTTGGCTTCTGTCGGCTGCTCACCTCTGTTGACTGCTTCTATTGGCACCTGCTAACCGCAGCTGTTGACTGTTTGATTCCTGTTGGCTCCTGGCAGGCAGTGGTGCAGCTGATGGCAGCAACGGGGGCGGGCTTTGAGCGCTTCACGCCCATCGGCATCAGACAAGAGGTGCCCAAAACGGTGCTCCTTCCACTCTCTCTCTCTCTCTCCTCATCCTTTCTCTCACTCTTTCATCCATTCTCTCTCTCTTGCTCTTTCACAGGATACACTCTGCCACACACTCTCTTGCTCTCTCTCGTCCCCATCCTTCTCACGACCTCCCTTCTCCCTTGCCTCCCCCCTTCTTTTTTTCCACCTTAAGCCCGGCCCGGCTCTCCTGTGTCTCTACCCCCACCCATTCTCGCAACTAGCAGCTTCATGTGTGTGTTTACGCTGGAAGGGGGAGGAGAGTGGGTGGCGGAGGGGAGAGGATTATCAACTTGGGCTGTGAACATGTGCTGTGTAGCGGTTGTTCATGTGTGAAATCGAATTCTCCACACAGGTCCCACTGTCTCACCCACCCTCCTCTCTGCACCCACATCTCCATCCTCTTTTTGTGACACAACAGTCCTCTCAACCATCCTACACCCCTCCCCCTTTCTCTCTCTTTTGTTTTCCATTATCCGCATGCCCTTCTGCCATCCAGCTGTCGCTGCGTGATACGGTGCAGTCCGTCATGGTTCCCCTGGCTGACGTGGAAGTGGCCCACCCTGACCAGTCACTGGCGGAGCTGAGGTCAGCACGGCCAGATCTGATGCCTGCTGACGTCATCCCGGTGATCAACGGTGCTGATGAGTGCGTGGGGGTCCTGAGAGTACCAAGCCATGCCATGGTGAGTCGCACATGAGTCACCTGCCTTAACTCGTCACATACATCACATGGGTCAGATCAGGTGCTAGTATCGAAGTTCACCACACCTTCACGAATCATGGGGCCAATTCAATGGTTACCCCAGGTCAGCCGCCCCTCCTCCATCATCTTTCTTCCATCCCCACACCCATCAAAGCCATCACTGCACCATAACCTCCCATTCCCCTCCCTCCCACCCTCCCTCAACCCCAGGACCCCGCGACCCTCGTCTCGCACCTCATGCTGCCCCCCCCGCCGTCGCTCTCCTGCCTCTCCACCGTCTCCGAAGCCGCTCTCCTGCTCTCCTCGCGCCGCACGCCCCTGGCAGCTGTGGTGGCGGGCAGTGCACGCATGCGCTACGGGCTTGCCAAGGAGGCTGTGCAGAGGGGCGCGGGGGAGGAGCGCCGCGTGGTGGGGTTTGTGCGTGCTGAGGCCGTGTTTGAAGGGCATGGTGGGTGCTGGTGGCACTCCGGGGAGCAGAGAGAGGAGGGGGATGGTGGGGATGAAGCGGCTAGTGTGGAGGGTGGTGATGTGCGTTTCGGTGAAGCTGAGTGTGGGGGGTTTGGTGCGAGAACTGAAGGCAGCAGCAGCGATTTTGACTCCCTTGTGGTTGCATGAAGGCAGCTTGAAGTTACGGTACTACTGCATGAAAAAAACAGCAGTGGTTGTTTTGATAGGGTGTTTGGTGAGGTGTGTGCTGAAATATAACTGTGACAGGCACAAGAAACCCCTGTAATTGGTTTGGGGTTTTGCTGAAGTGAGGGGTACCAGTGGGAATCAGATGTCCGCCTGTCTAAATAGGAAGTTGCTATTGTGGCTGTGTCAACTTTTGTGTTGCATTGTGGGTTTGGATAAGTGAAGCAGAACGAAAGTGTGGAATTGTATGCTATCCCGGTACCGCGATGTTCGGCAATTGTTGCCAGAGCTGGCAATACCGAAGACGCCAATGCTGATGCCACCCTTTTCCCGCGCGATTTCCGACACCATTCCCCGAAGTTGTCAACTGCGTTTGACCATCCACTTCACAATGCTCATCATGCTCCTCTCATCTGCCTCTGCCCCTGCCGTCAGTTCCATCTTGACTGCCAGTACCATAGTTTTACAAGCTCGCAGTACTTCAGGAGTGCGCACAGACACTCTTGAAATGCGTAGCTGACCCTTAGCTGCGCGAGTTTAAATGCATTGTCGCTGAGAGTTCTGCATTTATTCGCAATGCCTTTAGCCGCCAGGCACGCCGTTTCCCCAGCAATGTCGTGTCATATCCAGCCATCTGTGACTGATGCGGTGCGAGATTGTCACTATCGAAGACGAATCCACGTGTCGCCGTCTATGCTGCACGAAATGTCGTCCTTTCGCGGCGCAGTTCGTCCTGCTGACGTGGCTCATTTCGTGGTCAGAAGACCATTTCTTGTTCAGAGAAATCTCCCCCATTCCTCTAGCGCGTTTCGCCAGCGTCGCAAGACATACAGCGTACGCGTTATGAGGCCCGGATTCGTGGAAAACAGCTCAAACGGGAGGAGGCGCGCGGACGTACAATGCTGTAGCAACAACGCAGGAGCCAATAAAAGGCGAGACGCGAGTGGCGGTTTCAGCAGTGGCGATAATTCGAGAAGAGGGAATTCCGACAACTGTCGAAGCGACACGAGCCACAGCGAAAGAAGCTTCGATACAAGCAGATTCTGCAATGGTACGGAGCCTGAGCCACGCGTGAACGGCAAAAGCTGGAAGGAGCAGCTGACGTGGCATATGCGGAACTCGACATTGGTGAGTGGTGGTGGAGAGTCAGTCTGGCCATGCGACGTGATATGTATGAATCGATGTGATATGTATGAATTTTACTTCCTGGCAATATGGGCATGCAATGTGGTATTCCGGCAACTTGATCATCATGCAATGCAGTATTTTGGCAATCTAATGATCATGCAATGTGGCAACCTGGCAATCAGATCGCCCAATGTGTTCTTCTGGCGATTTGTCCTTTACTCCCCGCCCGCCATTCAGGCCCTCGTCCTGCTCTCTGCACCATTCCTCGCGGCCCTCGCGTCCCCCCTCACACCCTGCCCCCTCACACGACTTCGCCTCGCCCCACCAACAGCCACAGCAGCCACGCTCTCTGCCTCCCCCTCCTCCCAAGGGCCCAATCAGAAAGACTCTGCTGCCCCTGGGATTGCTGCTGCTTCCAACAGCACAAGCTATCAGTCCAGTGCTAATGCTGCTGGTAATGTTGCCGCTGGTGCTCCTACTGACGATGCTGTTGCCACTAGAATCGTCAACACAACCAGCAGCTCCACCACCCCTTCCACTTCTGCTACCGCCACCCCCTCCACCCTTCCATCCCCACCACACTCCACCACGTCCCTTCCCTTAGCCGCCACATCCCCCAACCTAGCGTCCATATCGCAGCGCGTGATTGGCTCCACGTCCGAGTGGGTCCCGCGGCCAGTGGACGGGCAGATAGGGCTGCAGGTGGGGCCGCCCGCGCCCCTCTTCTCCCCATCTGAAGCCCAAACCCACGCCGGCCACTCCCAGAGCCCAGGGGGAGGGGACCACAGCCCCTCTGGTTCATCCTTCAGCGCGCAGGACTGGCAGCAGCAGGGGCAGCGGCGGGGCGAGACAGGCATGGGGGTGCTGCTGTCGCCGGGGGGGGCGTGGGGGCGGCTGGTGAGGGAGTGGCGGTGGGCGCGCGTGCAGTACCTGTGGGACGTGCTGCTGGAGCGGCATCCCGTGGTGTACATCATGCTGCTCATGACCATGTGCACCACCCTCGTCTTCCTTGGCGGTTTCCTCTTCCACACCTTCCGGTAACCACCACCTCCTCTCTGCCACACTGCCCAGTTGGTCTTCAAAACCCCCTTCCAGCTGATCTTTGGCACACGAACGCCTGTCCGTACAGATCCATCTTACTCGCAGGTTCATCTTAACCTTAGGCATATGGCTTATCTTTCCCTTACACTTGTCATTCACTCAATAAACCAGCCCCACAGAAGCAGTCACGTATTATCTGTCAGGCAGCCGCTTGGCTCCATCATCCATGCCATGATCATATAGTCAATGGAGCTATCATGCCATCATCACCATGTTCGTACCACTCTATTTACTGCTTTCACAGCATTGACCGCACCGACAGCATTGACTGTTGCATTGCATTGGCGGCATTGACTGCTGCTACTGCTTTGTTTGCTTTCTCTACTGCCCTGACCGCATGGACACATGGGGCCATGGCATGGCATGGCAGGCGCCACAAGAGTCTGGGCGAGGACATGTGGGACGCGTGGTCCGCCCTCGTGTCGTCCAGCTCGCACCTCAAGGTACCCCCACTCTTCCCTGCCTGTCTGCCTCACCGCTCTGCCTCCCCTCCTCCCTCCTCCTCTCCCCCTGTGCACGCATGTGTGTGGCGCTCTCGTGTGGCGATTGAGGTACGGTGGGGTGCGGTGGAGAGGAGCAGGCGGCCGCAGGAGCCGTTTGGGGAGGCGCTGTGGGACGCGTGGGGCAATGTGTGCTCCTCCCGCCAGCACCTCCGGGTACTGCCGCTGCCTCTTACCGCGTTCTTCACCTGCTTCTTAAGGGCATTCTTCTGCTGCTTCTTAGGAAATTCGCTGCTGCCTTGTCTGTTCGTTCGTGTCTTTTCTCTCCCTTACCCTTCTTGAGGGCGTTAATTGCTGTTTTTTGCCTTTGTGGGAAGGGTGGGGTGGGGTGGGGTGGGGCCATGTGTGCTCTCAATCTCAATCTCAATCTTTCCCCCCGAGTCCTCTTGCTTGCGAGTGCCGCTGGTTGTTACTCCAAGCGCCCTAGCCTCATCTGCATGAGACTTACGCAGTGCGATACGGCATTTATCCACTGCTTGCTTGCTTGCTTGCTGCAGGCACTGCTGCCTGTGTTGCGTGTGCTGCATTCGCCTCCCCTGTGCGTGCTTTTCGTCTTCTCCCCCCCGCCCACACCACCCATCTGTACCACCTGTAACCACCTATCCTTCTCCCCTCCCCACTGTCCCCCTCCCCTCTGTCCCCCTCCCTTTTTCTCCCCCCTCCTCTGCGTGTTATGCATGATCTCGTGGGATGCACCACTTGGCAGGAGAGCACGCAGGAGGGGAGGGTTATAGGCATCATGCTCACGCTGGGCGGGCTCTTCTTCTACTCGCTGCTCACCTCCACCATGACCGCGCAGTTCAAGGTGTGGCTGCTCTCCTCTCAAGCGCTCCTACATGCTCCGACATGCTCTCACATGCTCTCATCTGCTCTCACATGCTCGCACATGCTCCCACATGCTCTCACCGCCACTCCCACCCCGCCCCGCCCTAATGTGAGCAGCTGCGCATGGAGTGGCTGAGGGAAGGCGCGCATTCTCTCTGCCCTTGAACTCACCTCCACCTCCCCATTCACTACGCACCCCGCTCCTCCCGCCCCGCCCCTCCCCGCCCTTGCCCGCCCCACCCCGCCCTGGCCCCCTGTGAGCAGCTTCGCATGGAGTGGCTGAGGGAAGGCGCTCACTCGCAGGTGAGAGGGGTCTTTGGTCTTCCCCTGGGGTGTGCTGTGCTGTGCTGTGCTGTGCTGTGCGGTGCTGTGCTGTGCGGTGCTGTGCTGTGAGTGCAACGTGTGAATGCTTTGCTCATAAAAGGCATACTAACAGCAAGCTTCTATTACCACAGGTAAAGCATTAAGTCCCCTCTTCTCCTACGTTTTCCCTCCTTCCCCTCCTCTCCCTTCTTCTCCCCTCCACTTCCTTCCACTTCTCCTCCCCACACATCTCCCCTGCTCGCATCTGCTCACCCTGCTCACCCCTGCTCACCCAGCTGCGTTGCTAGAACCTCAGCTGCGTTGCTAGCACCCGCAGCTGCGTTTCTCGCACCCTCAGCTGTGTTTCTAGCACCCTCATTTGCGTTGCTAGCACGCTTACCCTTGCTCACCCTGCTCACCCTGCTCAACCTGCTCATCCCTGCTCACCCCTCCTCACCCCTGCTCACCCCTGCCCACCCCTGCTCACCCTCGCTCACCCTGCTCACCCGTGTGCATGCACCAGGTGATGGAGCAAGACCACATAGTGATAGGCCGCATCAACAACCGCCTCGCCACCCAGTGCACTGCTGCTCACTCCTTCTCACCTCGTCCCCCTTTCCCCCCCCACCACCAGGTGATGGAGCGGGACCACATAGTGATCGGAGGCATCAACAACCGCCTCGCCATGCTGCTCACTCCTTACTCCTGCTCACCGCTCCTCACCCCTGTGCATCCAGGTGATGGAGCGAGACCACATAGTGATAGGCGGTATCAACAACCGCCTCGCCACGCTGCTGCGGCAGCTCAGCAAGAGCCAGCACTTTGCCGTGCAGGACGGCTCTGCGCTCACCAGGTGGGTTTGATTCCGTTGGGTGCTGCGGGTAGGGTGGTGATGCTGGGGGTGAGTGAGTCTGCACTCGCCATGTGCGTGCTCAGCAAGAGCCAACACTTTGCCGTGCAGGACGGCCAACACTTTGCTCACCAGGTGTGCTCTCAGGCGCCCCAGGTGCCACCTCTGCTTGCCTGACCGTACGGGATGGCCCCCTGGTTGCCATGACCCCCTTCACCTCACACTGCAGCTTGCCCTGCCTCCCATACCACCACATGCCGCCATGGTGACACACCGCTACTGCCTGCTCCTACGCTCATGCACGTGCCTTCTATCACCCCCTCAGCTTCCAACCCCTCTCTCCCTCTGCCCCTCTTCTGCTACTGCGTGAGTCCTGGGTTGCCCCTTATCTTTTTGTCGCCCCTCCTTTGCTCTGCTCCCCCAGGAAGCGCACGGTGCTGTTACTAACGGAGCTACCGCGCAAGGAGACGGAGAAGATAGTGTCGCCTTACCTCAAGGACTGCCAGCACATCAACCTCTTCATCCGCAGGTGCGTGCTGCCAGACCATTGCTGTCCCACAGTAGCTCCTTCAATCCCGCAAGCACCATTGTCGTCCTACAGTCGCATTGCATGTGCTGTGGGAGTACCCAGACCCGCCCATTTAATCGCATTGCCAGCGCCCACTCCATAGTCGCTCTCACTCAGCTTTCCCCATGCATGCATAGTCTAGCCTCTCCCATCCCGTGATTGCCTAGCACAGCCTTCTCCCTGCCCAGCCGCCTTCACCAATGTTAACCTCCCTTTCACCGTCTACCCCATTTGTGATCCCTTCCCTTCTCCCTCTCCCTCACTCGTCTCTCCTTCCCCCTGTGCTCTCCCCTCCCCTCTCACATCTCACCAGCGGTCCTCTCAGCAGCACGGCATCCTTCAAGAAGGTGGCGGCAGACAGGGCGCGCTCAGTCATTCTCCTGGCGCCCAAGGACGACTAGTGAGTGCCCCCTGCTTCCTGCTGTGCTGCGCGCGCACACTCCCTGTTGGCTCTACAGTAGCATGCATGCATGCTTCTCGCTGCCTCAGAGTCCCAGCACAGTCAGGCTGGCTGCGGTCCTCTCAGCAGCACAGCGTCCTTCAAGAAGGTGGCAGCAGACAGAGCGCGCTCAGTCATTCTCCTGGCGCCCAAGGACGACTAGTGAGCACCAACCCTCGTCGCTGCCAGATCTGCTAGCACTGTCACCCGTACGCCTCTCGTTGCTCCCATCCCTCCCTCTCCTTTCCCGTCTGCCCTTCCTCCCTACCCACCTCGCGCCCTTCGGCTTTCTCCATTGACCGCCCTCCTCCCCTCTGCAGCACCAGCACGGGCGTGGTGGCGGAGGTATCAAAGGGCAGCACGAGATCACTGCTGTGCGGCATGGCGGAGGTGCGGGTGAGCGCCGTGGAGAACCGTGCTAAAAAGCAGCAGGGTATCACTGCTCTGTGCCTTTCAGGCGATGGGCAGCACTGCTCAACGCCTTGCATCCACCTCCTCCCCCTCTCCTTCCCCTGTCACCAGCTACGAGGCAGACGCAGACGTGGTGATGTCAGTGATAGCCCTCAAGCCCCTACTAAGGGGTTCCAACACAGGCGTGGTGGCAGAGGTATCCAAGGGCAGCACGGGCTCTCTCCTCAGGGGCATGGCGGAGGTGCGCGTGAGCGCCGTGGAGAATCTCTCCGCCAAGCTCTTCGTGCAGTGCTCCCGCCAGCCGGGGCTCGTGGATGTCTACTGCAAACTGCTGGATCATACTGGTGAGGATATACAGGGCACTGTCCAGGGCACTGTACACAGGGCACAGGTAGAGGGGTGAAGGGTAGTGCCGTGGAGAATCTCTTTCTGCCAAGCTCTTCGTGCAGTGCTTTAGGCAGCCCGGGCTTGTTGACGTTTACTGCAAATTGCTGGACCACACTGGTGCGTTGGAGGTGGGCAGAGACCACATAGGTTATAGGGCACAGGGCAGGTTGTGAAGGGTACTGCCCTTCGTGCAGGGTAGAGGGCATGGCGGAGGTGCGCGTGAGCGCCGTGGAGAATCTCTCTGCCAAGCTCTTCGTGCAGTGCTCCCGCCAGCCGGGGCTTGTGGATGTCTACTGCAAGCTGCTCTTCGTGCTGGTGGGTGGGGTTGGGTACAGGAGGGTAGGGTGTGAAGGGAAGTGCTCTTCGTGCAGTGCTCAAGGCAACCCGGGCTCGTTGATGTCTACTGCAAACTGCTGCACCACACTGGTGCGGATACACAGGGACCACACAGATAGAGGGGGGTCAGATAAGCAGGGAGTGGGGTAGAGCGGTGAAGTGTGAGCGCCGTGGAGAATCTCTCCGCCAAGCTCTTCGTGCAGTGCTCAAGGCAACCCGGGCTCGTTGATGTCTACTGCAAACTGCTGCACCACACTGGTGCGGATACACAGGGACCACACAGATAGAGGGGGGTCAGATAAGCAGGGAGTGGGGTAGAGCGGTGAAGTGTGAGCGCCGTGGAGAATCTCTCTGCCAAGCTCTTCGTGCAGTGCTCAAGGCAACCTGGGCTGGTGGACGTGTACTGCAAGCTGCTGGACCACATTGGTGGGTGGGGGTGGGGGTGGTAGAGGGCATCGTTAAGGTCACTGCACACTGCCCTCCTCCCTGCCGCCTCCCCTCTCATTGCGTGTACTATGCCATTCCCACTCTCCTCTCCTCTCCTCTCTCCCCTGCCTCCACGAGCCACATCACTTCCACTCTCATCCCCCATCGCTCTCCCCCCACAGACGAGGTGATCAACGTGAGAAGCTTCCCCTCGCTTGCCGGCCTGCCCTACGGCCTTGTGCGCAGGGGCTTCCCAGAGGTGAGAAATCTTGTTTGATTTTATCTGATGCATGATGTGGTCAACAAGGGGGAACAGGGCTGTGTATGCTCCTATTCGTGATGGACCCATCCAGACCCATCCAGTACGCCAATCTTTTCCTTCCATGCATCACTGCACATGCTGCAGCAGTGTGTCACATTGTGCAAACAGCTAGGTGCAGCACCGTCACCTGTATTCACCTGCCATAGAACCACCCCCTTCCCGCTGCCTCCCACCTCCCGAACCTTTACCTGACAGGCGGTGTGCTGCGGCATAGTGAGGGACGGCAAGGTGCAGTTCCACCCTAAGGACTCCGACCCCATGCAGCGCACCGATAAGGTGTGTAGAGCGGTGGAATGCGGTGAGAGGAATATAAAAGCTTGAGTGTATTAGGTGGCTTAGTGAGGGACGGCAAGGTGCAGTTCCACCCCAAGGACTCCGAGCCCATGCAGCGCATCGATAAGGTGTGATGAGCGGTGGGATGCGGTGAGAGGAATATAAAAGCTTGAGTGTATTAGGTGGCATAGTGAGGGACGGCAAGGTGCAATTCCACCCCAAGGACTCCGACCCCATGCAGCGCACCGATAAGGTGTGTAGAGCGGTGGAATGCGGTGAGAGGAATATAAAAGCTTGAGTGTATTAGGTGGCATAGTGAGGGACGGCAAGGTGCAATTCCACCCCAAGGACTCCGACCCCATGCAGCGCACCGATAAGGTGTGTAGGGCGGTGGAATGCGGAGAGAGGAATATAAAAGCTTGATGTATTAGGTGGCATAGTGAGGGACGGCAAGGTGCAATTCCACCCCAAGGACTCCGACCCCATGCAGCGCACCGATAAGGTGTGTAGAGCGGTGGAATGCGGAGAGAGGAATATAAAAGCTTGAGTGTATTAGGTGGCATAGTGAGGGACGGCAAGGTGCAGTTCCACCCCAAGGACTCCGACCCCATGCAGCGCACCGATAAGGTGTGTAGAGCGGTGGGATGCGGTGAGAGGAATATAAAAGCTTGAGTGTATTAGGTGGCATAGTGAGGGACGGCAAGGTGCAGTTCCACCCCAAGGACTCCGACCCCATGCAGCACATCGATAAGGTGTGATGAGCGGTGGGATGCGGTGAGAGGAATATAAAAGCTTGAGTGTATTAGGTGGCATAGTGAGGGACGGCAAGGTGCAGTTCCACCCCAAGGACTCCGACCCCATGCAGCGCACCGATAAGGTGTGTAGGGCGGTGGAATGCGGAGAGAGGAATATAAAAGCTTGATGTATTAGGTGGCATAGTGAGGGACGGCAAGGTGCAATTCCACCCCAAGGACTCCGACCCCATGCAGCGCACCGATAAGGTGTGTAGAGCGGTGGAATGCGGAGAGAGGAATATAAAAGCTTGAGTGTATTAGGTGGCATAGTGAGGGACGGCAAGGTGCAGTTCCACCCCGAGGACTCCGACCCCATGCAGCGCACCGATAAGCTGTGATGAGCGGTGGGATGCGGTGAGAGGGATATCAGAACTCGAGCCAGAACAAAAATTAGGTAATGAGCTCAGGGTTCGTAAGTACTGGGGGTGGCCTTGGTGCGATTCCTCTTCCTTCCCCTTGGTGTCACACCATCCGATTCTATCACTTTCACGCACACGCACCGCCACCCACCCCCAGCGCTCATGCTGCAAGCAGCACAGATCAGGCAGAAGCAGGAGAGCAGCTGGGTGGAGAGGGGGCACTGGCCTCTCACTCGCCTTCCCTTGTCTCTCCGCCTTCCTTTCCCTCCACATCCCACCACCAGTTGATGCTGATAGCGCTGAAGCACACGCACCGCCAACCCCCACCAGCACTCATGCTGCAAGCAGCGCAGATCAGGCAGAAGCAGGAGAGCAGCCGAGGGGGGCGGGAGGGGCGCGGGGGCAGTGGGAGTGAGGCGATGGTGAGGGTCCACAGGGACTCGGCGCTAAAGACAAGAGATGCCGGCCAGTTCAAGGTGAGGAGAGGAAGGACTGGTGGAGGGCTGACGAGGCTAGGCTGTGCAGCATTGGTCTCACCGTGTCAGCCTGTCAGCCAATCAGCGTAGCAGCCTATCAGCGAATCAGTGTATCAGCGTATTAGCATAGCAGCATAGCAGCGTAGGAGCTTAGCAGGGTGCCATGTGCCTCGTTCCATGTGCCACGCGCCATGTGTGTAGCAGCAGCGTAGCAGCGTATCAGCTTATCAGCATAGCAGCGTCTCAGCGTTGCAGCTTAGCAGGGTAGCAGCTTATCAGCGTAGCAGCAGCGTAGCAGCCTATCAGCGTAGCAGCGTATCAGCGTAGCAGCGTACCAGCATATCAGCGTATCAGCGTATCAGCATATCAGCGCATCAGCGTAGCAGCGTATCAGCGTATCAGCGTATCAACGTAACAGCGTATCAGCGTATCAGCGTAACGGCGTAGCAGCCTATCAGCATATCAGCCTATCAGCATATCAGCGTAGCAGCGTATCAGCGTAGCAGCGTATCAGCGTAGCAGCCTATCTGCGTATCAATATCAGCGTAGCAGCGTATCAGCGTAGCAGTGTAGCAGCGTATCAGCGCATCAGCGCATCAGCGTACCAGCGTATCAGCGCATCAGCGTATCAGCGTATCAGCGTACCAGCGTAGCAGCGTATCAGCGCATCAGCGCATCAGCGCATCAGCGTATCAGCGTACCAGCGTACCAGCGTATCAGCGTATCAGCGTATCAGCGCATCAGCTCATCAGCGTATCAGCGTAGCAGCGTAGCAGCCTATCAGCGTATCAGCGTATCAGCGTATCAGCGTATCAGCGTAACATCGTAACATCGTATCAGCATATCAGCGTATCAGCCTATCAGCGTATCAGCGCATCAGCGCATCAGCGTAGCAGCGTATCAGCGTAGCAGCGTAGCAGCCTATCAGCGTAGCAGCGTAGCAGCCTATCAGCGTAGCAGCTTACCAGCATATCAGCGTATCAGCACATCAGCGCATCAGCGTATCAGCGTATCAGCGTAGCAGCGTAGCAGCCTATCAGCGTATCAGCGTATCAGCGTAACATCGTATCAGCATATCAGCGTATCAGCGTATCAGCCTATCAGCGTATCAGCGCATCAGCGCATCAGCGTAGCAGCGTATCAGCGTAGCGGCGTAGCAGCCTATCAGCGTAGCAGCTTACCAGCATATCAGCGTATCAGCATATCAGCCCATCAGCGTATCAGCGTATCAGCGTATCAGCGTAGCAGCCTATCAGTGTAGCAGCGTACCAGCATATCAGCGTATCAGCGTATCAGCGCATCAGCGTATCAGCGTATCAGCCCATCAGTGTAGCAGCGTATCAGCGTAGCAGCCTATCAGCGTAGCAGCGTACCAGCATATCAGCGCATCAGCGTATCAGCGTATCAGCGTATCAGCGTAGCAGCGTACCAGCGTATCAGCGTGCCAGCGTCTCACCGTATCAGCGCATCAGCGTATCAGCGTATCAGCGTACCAGCGTATTAGCGAATCAGCGTATCAGCGTAGCACCGTAGCAGCGTATCAGCGTATCAGCCTATCAGCGTATCAGCGTAGCAGCGTATCAGCGTATCAGCGTATCAGCGTATCAGCGTAGCAGCGTATCAGCGTATCAGCGTATCAGCGTAGCAGCGTATTAGCCTATCAGCATAGCAGCGTCTCAGCGTATCAGCGCATCAGCGCATTAGCGTATCAGCGTATCAGCGTAGCAGCGTATCAGCGCATCAGCTCATCAGCGTATCAGCGTAGCAGCGTAGCAGCCTATCAGCGTATCAGCGCATCAGTGTACCAGCGTATCAACGTATCAGCGAATCAGCGTATCAGCGTATCAGCGTATCAGCGTAGCAGCGTAGCAGCGTATCAGCGTATCAGCGCAGCAGCGTATCAGCGTATCAGCGTATCAGCCTATCAGCGTATCCGCGTAGCAGCATATCAGCGTATCAGCGTAGCAGCCTATCAGCATAGCAGTGTATCAGGGTAGCAGCGTAGCAGCCAATCAGCGTATCAGCGTAGCAGCGTATCAGCGTATCAGCGTATCAGCGTACCAGCGTATCAGCGTATCAGCGTAGCAGCATATCAGCGTATCAGCGTATCAGCGTACCAGCGTACCAACGTATCAGCGCATCAGCGTATCAGCGTAGCAGCGTATTAGCCTATCAGCATAGCAGCGTATCAGCGTATCAGCGCATCAGCGCATTAGCGTATCAGCGTATCAGTGTAGCAGCGTATCAGCGCATCAGCTCATCAGCGTATCAGCGTAGCAGCGTAGCAGCCTATCAGCGCATCAGCGTACCAGCGTATCAGCGTATCAGCGTAGCAGCCTATCAGCGTATCAGTATCAGCGTATCAGCGTAGCAGCGTATCAGCGTATCAGCGCATCAGTGTACCAGCGTATCAGCGTATCAGCGAATCAGCGTATCAGCGTATCAGCGTATCAGCCTATCAGCGTATCAGCGTAGCAGCGTAGCAGCGTATCAGCGTATCAGCGCAGCAGCGTATCAGCGTATCAGCGTATCAGCCTATCAGCGTATCCGCGTAGCAGCATATCAGCGTATCAGCGTAGCAGCCTATCAGCATAGCAGTGTATCAGGGTAGCAGCGTAGCAGCCAATCAGCGTATCAGCGTAGCAGCGTATCAGCGTATCAGCGTATCAGCGTACCAGCGTACCAGCGTATCAGCGTATCCGCGTAGCAGCATATCAGCGTATCAGCGTATCAGCGTACCAGCGTACCAACGTATCAGCGCATCAGCGTATCAGCGTAGCAGCGTATTAGCCTATCAGCATAGCAGCGTATCAGCGTATCAGCGCATCAGCGCATTAGCGTATCAGCGTATCAGTGTAGCAGCGTATCAGCGCATCAGCTCATCAGCGTATCAGCGTAGCAGCGTAGCAGCCTATCAGCGCATCAGCGTACCAGCGTATCAGCGTATCAGCGTAGCAGCCTATCAGCGTATCAGTATCAGCGTATCAGCGTAGCAGCGTATCAGCGTATCAGCGCATCAGTGTACCAGCGTATCAGCGTATCAGCGAATCAGCGTATCAGCGTATCAGCGTATCAGCCTATCAGCCTAGCAGCGTAGCAGCGTATCAGCGCAGCAGCGTATCAGCGCAGCAGCGTATCAGCGTACCAGCGTATCAGCCTATCAGCGTATCAGCCTATCAGTGTATCCGCGTAGCAGCGTATCAGCGTAGCAGCGTATCAGCGTATCAGCGTAGCAGCCTATCAGCGTACCAGCGTATCAGGGTAGCAGCGTAGCAGCGAATCAGCGTATCAGCGTAGCAGCGTATCAGCGTATCAGCGTATCAGCATACCAGCGTATCAGCGTATCAGCGTAGCAGCATAGCAGCGTATCAGCGTATCAGCGTACGAGCGCACCAACGTATCCGCGTATCAGCGTAGCAGCGTATCAGCCAATCAGCGCATCAGCGCATCAGCGCATCACCGCATTAGCGTATCAGCGTAGCAGCGCATCAGCTCATCAGCGTATCAGCGTAGCAGCGTAGCAGCCTATCTGCGTATCAGCGTATCAGCGTAACATCGTATCAGCATACCAGCGTATCAGCGTATCAGCGTATCAGCGTAGCAGCGCATCAGCATATCAGCGTATCAGCGTACCAGCGTATCAGCGTATCAGCGAATCAGCGTATCAGCGTAGCAGCGTATCAGCGTATCAGCCTATCAGCATATCAGCGTAGCAGCGTATCAGCGTAGCAGCGTACCAGCGTACCAGCGTAGCAGCGTATCAGCGTATCAGTGTATCAGCGTACCAGCGTATCAGCGTAACAGCGTAGCAGCGTATCAGCCTATCAGCGCAGCAGCGCAGCAGCCTATCAACGTACCAGCGTATCAGCGTAGCAGCGTACTAGCGTATCAGCGTATCAGCGCATCAGCGTATCAGCGTACCAGCGTATCAGCGTATCAGCGTATCAGCCTATCAGCGTATCAGCGTATCAGCCTATCAGCGTATCACCGTATCAGCGTATCAGCGTATCAACGTAACAGCGTACCAGCGTATCAGCGTAGCAGCCTATCAGCGTATCAGTATCAGCGTATCAGCGTAGCAGCGTATCAGCCTATCAGCACGAGTTTGACGACTATGTGGGGCCTCACTTGCACCCCTTGACGAGTTTGACGACTATCTCTGACGTCCATCCTTATCACAGCGTATCAGCGTATTAGCCTATCAGCGTTTGACGACTATGATCCGCGACATGATCCACGAGTTTGACGACTACGTGGGGCCTCACTTGCAAGGGGCATTCCACTGTCCTCACCACGTTCCAGCACCCCTCTCCTTTTTGTCCAGCCAAATGAACCGGCAGCGAGGGCGGAGCGCATGGTGATGCTGGGGTGGAGGACGGGCGTTCCGGACATGATCCGCGAGTTTGACGACTATGTGGGGCCTCACTTGCACTTGTTGAGGTTGATTCATGTGCTCTCACATGCACTCCTCTGCCCCCACTGCAGCCTAACGAACCGGCAGCGAGGGCGGAGAGAATGGTGATGCTTGGATGGAGGACGGGCGTTCCGGACATGATCCGCGAGTTTGACGACTATGTGGGGCCGGGCAGCGAGCTGGTCATTCTGGCGGAGGAGAGCCTGGAGGAGAGGGAGCAGCAGCTGGCGAGGATGCTCAGGACGCCTTTGAGGAATCTCACGGTGGTGCACAAGGTGTGTGCTGGCATGAGTGCGTAATGTAGCAGAAATCGAGCGATGTGAAGGTGGTGGAGGAGAGGCACTCAGTGTGTTCCATCCACTCCTCTGTGTCCGCAGGCGAGCCTTGAGATGCCCAACTCCAGTTACATTCTCCATGCCCTTTGCACAAAGGGGACACTCATACTCCATCCCCTTTTTGCATCCCCATCCCGCCCTGCCCCCCCAGGTGCGCAACCCCATGAATCGCACGGACCTCACAGACCCGGGCAGTGTCTTCCATCCCTTTGTGTCCGCCGTGGGTTGTTGAGTTGCTTCGGCTCACTCAAGTGCTGTTGACGCACACACTCATTCCCCATGCCCCTTGTGTGCCCCTCTCTCCCTTTCCCGTCCGTCCCTCCTTCCCCCTCATCAGGTGGGCAACCCAATGAGTCGCACGGACCTCACTGACGCCACGGGCAGTGTCTTCCGCCCCTTTGTGTCCCCTTTTGGGTCGTTGAGACATCTCACTTGAGTGACGCTCACTCACGCACTCACTCCTCACGCCACTTGTACGGCCCCCACCCCTCTTCTTCTCCCCCCCCCCCCCCTCTCAGGTGGGCAACCCAATGAGTCGCACGGACCTCACAGACGCCATTCTGGACCCGGGCAGTGTATTCCACCCCTTTGTGTCTGCTGGCGGAGACATGTTCTTTGACAACGTGCCCTTCTCCATCATTGTCGTCTCCGACCGCTCTTGGCACCACGGAGGTGCGTGTGTGGGTGTGCCCGTCTGTGTGTGGTGGCGGTTAGGCGTTATATGGGCAGTGTATTCCACCCCTTTGTGTCTGCTGGCGGAGACATGTTCTTTGACAACGTGCCCTTCTCCATCATTGTCGTCTCCGACCGCTCCTGGCACCACGGAGGTGCGTGTGTGGGTGTGCCCGTCTGTGTGTGGTGGCGGTTAGGCGTTATATGGGCAGTGTATTCCACCCCTTTGTGTCTGCTGGCGGAGACATGTTCTTTGACAACGTGCCCTTCTCCATCATTGTCGTCTCCGACCGCTCCTGGCACCACGGAGGTGCGTGTGTGGGTGTGCCCGTCTGTGTGTGGTGGCGGTTAGGCGTTATATGGGCAGTGTATTCCACCCCTTTGTGTCTGCTGGCGGAGACATGTTCTTTGACAACGTGCCCTTCTCCATCATTGTCGTCTCCGACCGCTCCTGGCACCACGGAGGTGCGTGTGTGGGTGTGCCCGTCTGTGTGTGGTGGCGGTTAGGCGTTATATGGGCAGTGTATTCCACCCCTTTGTGTCTGCTGGCGGAGACATGTTCTATGACAACGTGCCCTTCTCCATCATCGTTGTTTCCGACCGCTCCTGGCACCATGGAGGTGCGTGTGTGTGGGTGTTTATGTGTATGTGTGTGCGTGAATGTGTGGGTGGGTGTGTGTGTGTGTGTGATACGCAGTTAGTCGTTCTGGGCTTGGAGCTCTAGGCGCCATGCATGGGTATGTCGGGCTTGGAGCTCTAGGCGCCATGCATGGGTATGTCCGGCTTGGAGCTCTAGGCGCCATGCATGGGTATGTCCGGCTTGGAGCTCTAGGCGCCATGCATGGGTATGTCCGGCTTGGAGCTTTAGGCGCCATGCATGGGTATGTCCGGCTTGGAGCTCTAGGCGCCATGCATGGGTATGTCCGGCTTGGAGCTCTAGGCGCCATGCATGGGTATGTGCACCCCTAGCCACCCCGTTCAGTCCCAACTGCATTCCCTCAACCTCTTCTCTGTGACCCCTCCCCTCCACTGTACATCGCCCACCACCAGAGCGCACCAAGCCGGACAAGCAGTCGCTGTACTCGCTGCTGCTGGCGGAGTCGGTGTGTCGTGCCAACAAGATGAAGGTGAGTAGCCTCTGATTCTTATCAACAGATCGATCAAGTAAGGCACCCGCACCCCACCTAGCATCAAGCAGTCGCTCTACTCGCTGCTGCTGGCGGAGTCGGTGTGTCGTGCCAACAAGATCAAGGTGAGTAGCCTCTGATTCTTCTCAACAGATCGATCAAGTAAGGCACCCGCACCCCACCTAGCATCAAGCAGTCGCTCTACTCGCTGCTGCTGGCGGAGTCGGTGTGTCGTGCCAACAAGATGAAGGTGAGTAGCCTCTGATTCTTATCAACAGATCGATCAAGTAAGGCACCCGCACCCCACCTAGCATCAAGCAGTCGCTCTACTCGCTGCTGCTGGCGGAGTCGGTGTGTCGTGCCAACAAGATCAAGGTGAGTAGCCTCTGATTCTTCTCAACAGATCGATCAAGTAAGGCACCCGCACCCCACCTAGCATCAAGCAGTCGCTCTACTCGCTGCTGCTGGCGGAGTCGGTGTGTCGTGCCAACAAGATGAAGGTGAGTAGCCTCTGATTCTTATCAACAGATCGATCAAGTAAGGCACCCGCACCCCACCTAGCATCAAGCAGTCGCTCTACTCGCTGCTGCTGGCGGAGTCGGTGTGTCGTGCCAACAAGATCAAGGTGCGCTCTCTCTGACTCTGATGAACAGATACCTCAAGCTGGCTGTATAAAAACCACAGGAGCATTCATTTAACCATGCTCACCCTTCGTTGCAATCAAGGGGTCGCTTCGTTAGCCTAAACACACATACCTACTGAGTAGATGGAAGCAAGGTCTCCGCAACCCACCTGTCCACTATCGACAAGACAAGCAGTCGCTGTACTCGCTGCTGCTAGCAGAGTCAGTGTGCCGCGCCAACAAGGTCAAGGTATGCAGTCTCTGAGTCGGATTAACAGATGCTACGCAAGGCCTCTGCAGCCCACCCATCTGTCTTCCATAGACAAGACAAGCAGTCGCTCTACTCGCTGCAAAAGGCGGAGTCAGTGTGGCGCACCAACAAGATCAAGGTGCTTCCAAGGGGGCTGCCTGCGTGCTAAGGGGAAATGGTTGCATGAGAAGGGGGGAATATGATTGCTTGCGACGGTAAGCGCTGCTAGCAGAGTCGGCGTGCCGTGCCAACAAGATCAAGGTGCTTCCAAGGGGGCTGCCTGCGTGCTAAGGGGAAATGGTTGCATGAGAAGGGGGGAATATGATTGCTTGCGACGGTAAGCCGGACAAGCAGTCGATCTACTCGCTGCTGCTAGCAGAGTCGGCGTGCCGTGCCAACAAGATCAAGGTGCGCACTCTCTCATTTTGATTGAGGCCACATACCTACTGAGTTGATGGAAACAAGGCCTCCGCAGTTCACCTGTCCCCTGTCATCAAGACAAGCAGTCGCTCTACTCGCTGCTGCTGGCGGAGACGGTGTGCCGCGCCAACAAGACCAAGAGGTGATTTCCTGGCAGGTGGCTGCATGCTTACGAGGAAATGGCTGCATGCGAAGTGGGGAAAATGAATGCGTGCTGGATGCAAGGAAGAGCTTGCTATGTTACATTCAAAACAGCACTCATCGCACCCTTGTCACACTAAACACACTGCGGCTGTGCACTCTCACGCTTACCCACTGATCCTTTAGTGAACTAGAAAGCCCGATCAGATGCCCCCCACATGTGCCTTGGCCAAAACCCGGATGGATCTTGTATGTCCGCTGCACCTGTCGCCCCCATTCCATCCTATACACACACGACCTGCCCCATGCAGGTGCCGTCTCTTGCAATCACCCACTGTCCCCATGGCCCCCATCCTGTGTGCCCCACGCAGGTGCAATCTCTAAACGCAGAGCTCGAGGACAACCGCCTAGGCCGCGAGGTGGGTGGGGGAGGGAACAGGCCAGAGAGGTAGCAGCATTATCACGCTGCTGGCAGCTTGATATGCGGGTGGGGCATGGGAGCTGGATGGGAGGAGGAGGGGAATGAGCATGTTGGAGCACCTTTCTGGAATAAGCCCTGAGATCACCTACTCATGCAGCCTGCCAGCATGCCATCCTGGCCCTCTCATGCAACGAGAAGCCGTTTCCTTAAGTAGCCTTACATCAGGGCACTGTGCTGGTGTGCAATTATGCAATCATGCAATCATGCCATCATGCCATCATGCAATCATGTATTCATGCAATCATGCAATCATGTAATCATGCAATCATGCAATCATGCAATCATGCCATCATTATACCATGCTCTGCTCCCTCCCCATGCTCCCCTCCCAGGTGGTGGGCAGTCATCCATCGCTCACCTACATCGGCACGTCTGACCTCATGGGGCTAGTCACCTCACAAGGTACGGATTTACGGGGCTGTTACCTCATGTTGTGTGCATGTGGTGCCCACTCGACTCACGGCATATGAGCTGGTCATGTCACTCATTGCAAGTCCGTACCCCAACATCTCAGCTGCTGTGTGTGCATAATGCACATATAGTTCTCATATAATGCTTGATTATGCTGATACGATGCTCCGCTGATGCATCACTTGTGCGCCACATCACGTGCCCCGTCTCTCCTCCCTTCCCCTCCATCACTTCACCTTGCACCTCTCTTCCCCTCCTCTTCTGCTCTCTTTCAAACTCATCTCTCGATCGCTCTCCCAATCCCCACACCCACCTCACCTTCCCCTCTCCCTTGCAGTCACAGAGCATGCGGAGCTGAACGCCATCTGGACAGAGCTGCTCAACTCGTGGGGGGACGAGATCTACGTAAAGGTGAGGTTTAAATGCTATAGTATATGTACCTCACGGTGCGTGAGGGACGAGAAATTCGCGAAGGTCAGTACAGAAGGAATGCCATATTAGGGTCAAGGTGTGTGGGAACTGAACCATGTTCCGCCATGTGCAAGCAAGGCTACACATGCTTGCGAAGCATGCAGTTCTTGATCAAATTACCCAAGTATGTGGGGCATGGGGTGCATGTGGGGCATGGGGTGCATGTGGGGCATGGGGTGCATGTCTTGGCTTCTAATGCTCGCATCTCACGCACTGCCCGCACCATGCATCCATATGCCCGAGTAGGCATCCCTCTCCATTCACTCAATTTAATCAGCGTATGCACTCACCCCCATCCCGCCCACCAGGATGCGTCTCTGTATGTGTGTCCAGGGGAGAGCCCAACGTTCAACGGACCAGGACGTCCATGCGACTGAACGAAACGTGCCCGTTCCCTCTCCCCCCCTCCCCCTCCCCCCCACTCCTTCACCCACACCAGGATGCATCCCTGTATGTGAGTCCAGGGGAGAGCCCAACGTTCAACGAGCTGGCGGAGAGAGCGGTGCAGCGGGGGGAGGTGGCGATAGGGTATCGGCGAGGCGACACCACGGTCATCAACCCGTGCCCCAAGGACGTGCCACTTGAGTTCGGCCCGGAGGACAGCCTCGTCCTCATTTCTGAATACGGCTAATTTATTTGCAATATTTTTTTATGGTGTTGACGATGTGTGCTTGAGTTTGAAGTGTATCACTATGTACTTATCAAACCAAATTCCTAACTGGGCTATTTGTTGGCGAACTGTGAAATGCTCAAAATCGATTGTTACGTGAAGGCATTCCCACTGGTACTCGCCCAGCTTCGCTACGTATCGCAAAGCCCTGTCCCCCGCGCCCCACTCGTCTTCCCTAATCCTTCCATCCCAAGTTCAATTGGCTCCGTGCGACGGTCATTCATGTCCGTCCCTCCCGCCGGCCCAACGACACTCGAACGCCTATTCCGTAGTACCGATTTCCGTTATACGAAGGTTGCTGCTCCCACCGACTGAGCCATCGTATCGTGTTGACCCGAAAAATCCTGGTTTGCAGGCGGCGTTGGGTCTCTGGGTAGCGGCTGGTAGATTGAGCGAGCACGGCAGTCGACGAGCCCAGCGAGCGCGAAGCAAGCCGGAGGGGAGGAGATACGCGCGGGGGAGAGAAGGTGCAAGAGCCGGCAGTGAAGCACTCGGGGAAGCAGAGCAAGTTGCGCCAACATGCCGAAATCGAAACGCAACCGAATGGGTACGAAAGCTAGTCTGACGCATTTCATCCCGATGCGCCGTTCTTCTGCACACCCGCTTGTGCCGCGATATAGTCAATGCAACGCATTGCCAATGCGTCGAGTTAGGTTACGCTACCCAACGCCACGCCACGCCACGCCACGCCACGCCACTCTTCATCCAGATGTGTCCAGGTTATGCTACACCTTCGCTGTGCTCGGAATGCCCGTGTAAGCGTCCTCGACTCACAGGGTTTCGATACAAGTTGGCGTCTGAAGATTTGCAAAAGCTCCACGTGCGTCCTCATCACTGCGCGCCGAGTTCCCTCTCTCTCCCCCTCTCTCGCCCCAATCCCCCCCCGGTCCGCGCGCGTTGCATTTGACTATATCGCCGCTCCCTCACCCCGTCCCCTCCTTCCGTCCCGCGCCCTCGCTCGCAGTGACTCTATCGCGCGTGACAAAGAAGGGGCGCGAGCAGAAGGAGTCGCTAGTGGAGGCGGTGGTGACTATAGCGAGACGACTCAATCTCAACCTGCTTTGTCCCCCCCCCCCCCCCCTCTTACCCTCACTACCGTCCTCCGCAGTGACTCTATCGCGCGTGACTAAGAAGGGGCGCGAGCAGAAGGAGTCGCTAGTGGAGGCGGTGCGAGCAGCAGTGGAGGAGTATTCGGATGTGTACGTGTTCGAGTTCGACAACATGCGCAACACCAAGCTCAAGGAGCTCAGGGATGAATTGAAAGGAGCCTGCAGGTAAGCCACTGTCGCTAAAACCCTGAACCCTGGAAGAGCAGCTGTGGAGGGGTATTCGAACGTGTATGTCTTCGAGTTCGACAACATGCGCAACACCAAACTCAAGGAGCTCAGAGACGAGCTTAAAGGAGTCTGCCGGTAAGCGGCTAGCTCTAAAACCCGGAACCCTGCGTCGTTAAGCCCTGGGTGGGCAGTGGATGCGCAACGGAGGCTCATTATTCGGACGTGTACGTGTTCGAGTTTGAAAACACGCGTAACACCAAGCTCAAGGAGCTCAGGGATGAATTGAAAGGCGTCTGCAGGTAAGACACTGGCGCTAAAACCCCGAACCCTGGATGAGCGGCGGTGGAGAGGTATTCGAACCAGGCCTGTCGAAGTCCTTGGGTTCGAACGTGTACGTGTAAGAGTTCGACAACATGCGCAACACCAAGCTCAAGGAGCTCAGAGACGAGCTCAAAAGCGTCTGCAGGTCTGCAGGTGGTGCTGTTCCCCCCTCCCTTCCCCCACCCCCGTCCCCTCTCTCCCTCAATCCGCGTCCCCAACTCGTCCGCCTCTCCCCTTCTTTCCCCCCTTCCCGCAGGTTCTTCCTGGGCGCTAACAAGGTGCTGCAGGTGGCGTTGGGGAGGGACAAGGCCACGGAGCAGAGAGAGGGGCTGCACCGGTGCAGTGAGGTGAGAAGGGAGGGTTGAGGGATGCTGTGCGGTGACGAGGGGTGGAGATGAGGGAGGGACAAGGCCCCGGAGCAGAGGGAGGGGCTGCACCGGTGCAGTAAGGTGAGAAGGGAGGGTTGAGGGATGCTGTGCGGTGACGAGGGGTGGAGATGAGGGAGGGACAAGGCCCCAGAGCAGAGGGAGGGGCTGCACCGGTGCAGTAAGGTGAGAGGGGAGGTTTGAGGGATGCCGTGCGGTGATGATGGGTGGAGATGAGTGAGGGACAAGGCCTCGGAGCAGAGGGAGGGATTGCATCAGTGCAGTGAGGTGAGACAGGAGAGGTGAGGGCTGCTGTGCGGTAACGAGGGGTGGAGATGAGGGAGGGACAAGGCCATGGAGCAGAAGGAGGGGCTGCACCGGTGCAGTGAGGTGAGGGGGGCTTGGGGAGGAGTGTTGTGCGGTGACGAGGAGTGGGGATGAAAGGGGCGGGTTGGGGGAGGGGTGGATGGAGGGAGAAGAGATGAGAGGAAGGTGCTGCATTGGTACCGTGCAGTGAGGCTAAGGGGTGCGGAGGACAAGGGTTGGGGAGGACAAGGGTTGGGACGGTGGATGTGCGGTGATGAGGAGTGGAGATGAAAGGGCAGCGGAGCAGAGGGAGGGACGAAATGGCACCAGTGCAGTGTGGTGAGGGAAAGCGTGGTGGGGGAAAGCGTGGATAAATCCAGTGTGGTGATGGGTTGTGGAGATGGGTTGATTCCGTTTATTCAATCCCATGCAAGCATTCACTACTGCCTGCATCTGCCAATCTCCTCTTCCCCTCCACCGTTTCCTACACTCACTTCTCCACGTCTCTTCTTCTCACCCTCCTTCCCCTCTCCCCTCTCTGTTGTCCCACATTGCCCTCTCCCTCCGTTTCTTTGAATGTTGTATTTATGCATGTGTGTGCCACAGCAGCTGATAGAAGGGCACCGAGGGCTGCTCTTCACATCGTTGCCCAAGGAGCAGGTGGAGAAGTGCGTTGGGGGATGGGTGGGGGGGGGAAGGAGGGGGAAGGTTGAATTGAAAGGAAAGGGGGGGAGGGATTGGGGAAGGGATGGGGGGATGTGCAACCCACCAGCTGATTGAGGGGCACCGAGGGCTGCACTTTACGTCTCTGCCCAAGGAGCAGTTGGAGAAGTGCGTTGGGGGGGGAGCGGGGGTGGGGGAAGGGAAGAAAAGAAGGGTGTAGTTGTGGGGGCGGAAGTGAGGCGCCTGAATCAGTTGGGAGGAGGGAGAAGGGGCTATAAGCTCGTGAGGGGAGGAGGGAGAAGGGGCTATAAGCTCGTGAGGGGAGGAGGGAGAAGGGGCTATAAGCTCGTGAGGGGAGGAGGGAGAAGGGGCTATAAGCTCGTGAGGGGAGGAGGGAGGAAGAGGAGGGGGGGGGGGGGGGGGGGAGAAAAGGGGTGTTACTGGTCTTTTGCTATCCACGTTGATTCATCCCCCTTCTCCACCTCTCATCACCGCCATATCTCCTTGTGTTACCCCTCATCACCACCTCCTGACAGGGCCTGACTTTGCGCACACAGGCAGGCAGCATCACCCACCCATCCCTCCTTCCCTCCCTACTTTTCATCCCTCCATATCCAACCCCCTTGGGCACGCCAGGCACGTCAACGAGCTGGCGGAACCAGGCTTTGCGCTCACGGGCAGCATTGCCACGAGCACTCTCATCATCGCCTTCCTCTCTCTTTGTTTCCCGTCCCCTGTGGTGCTGCAACACGCTTGGCGCTTCAATGAGCTGGCAGAGCCGGACTTTGCGCGCACGGGCAGCATTGCTACGAGCACTCTCATCTCCTTCCATCCCTCCCTCCTATTTCCACCCCTCTTCCCACCCCACCCCCCTGCAACACGCCAGGCGCTTTAATGAGCTGGCAGAGCCGGACTTTGCGCGCACGGGCAGCATCGCCACCAGCACGCACAAGTGTTCATCCTCCCTCCTCTCATTCACTCACATGCACTCTCACCCACCTGTGGCACACCAGGCGGTTCAACAAGCTAGCAGAGCCCGACTATGCGCGCACGGGCAGCATCGCCACCATCACTCTCGTCTCCACCCTCTTCTTTCCACCCCTCGTCTCTCCACCCCTTGCACCACTGCAGGCGCTTCAATGGGTTAGCAGAGCTGGACCTTGCGTACACGGGCAGGGCAGCATCGCCACGAACACGGTGGAGCTGCCTCTCATCTCCCGCTGCTCCCTGGCTCTCCTCCGCTACTCTCACCCGTCTAATGCACTGCAATGCACCAGGCGCTTCAATGAGCTAGCAGGGCCGGACTTTGCGCGCACGGGCAGCATCGCCACCAGCACGGTGGATTTCCCTCTCATCTCCACGCTCCCTGTCTCTCCTCTTCTCTCACCCCCCCCATTGCCATGCAACACGCCAGGCGCTTCAATGAACTAGCAGAGCCAGATTTTGCGCGCACAGGCAGCATCGCCACCAGCACGGTGGATTTCCCTCTCATCTCCACGCTCCCTGTCTCTCCTCTTCTCTCACCCGCCCCATTGCCATGCAACACGCCAGGCGCTTCAATGAACTAGCAGAGCCAGATTTTGCGCGCACAGGCAGCATCGCCACAAGCACAGTGGAGCTCCCAGAGGGTCCGCTAACCCAGTTCAGCCATGACATGGAGCCGTTTCTCAGGAAGCAGGGCATGCCAGTGCGCCTCAACAGGGGTGAGTGCAGTGCGATGCGGTGCGGTGTGGTGGGGTGTTTTTGCGCTTCAACAGGGGTGCAGTGGAGTGCATTGCCGACAGGGACCATTAATCCAGTTCAGTCATGTCATGGAGCCGTTCCTCCACAAGCAGGGCATGCCTGTGCGCCTCAGCAGAGGTGTGTGTTGCACCTCACCCGACTTGGTCCACGCTCGTGCCTTGGTCCACGCTCGTGCCTTGGTCCACGCGGGCGCCTTGGTCCACGCAGGTGCCTTGGTCCACGCGGGCACCTTGGTCAACGCGCGCGCCTTGTCACCACGCTGTGACTATTCCAGGAGTGATTAATCTGGTGGCTGACCTTCAGTGTGCACTGAGGCCAACCACTCTCCTCCTCCCCTTCCCCTTTATGTCACCCGCACTGTGACTGTACCAGGTGTGATTGATTTGGTGGCTGACTTTACAGTGTGCACAGAGGGTCAACCGCTCTCCCCTGAAGCTGCCACCATTTTGGTACGCCTCTCTATTAATCCCACACCACCATTCGCTGCTCATTGCCGTTCAGCATTGTAAAGAGCAATCTCACCTTCCATTGACCCTGCTTGCTATCGCACTTGACTTGAATTCACATATTTCCTGGGTGAAAGACGGCTGCCTTTCGGCTGCATCTGCTGGGTTCTGGACGGACGACTCCGACTCCTATTCGTGTCAACTTCTCTCCTGTTCTCTCACCTTTCATCCCTATCCCTCCTTCCCTTCTCTGCTTGTCCAGCGATTACTGGGAGAAAAGATGGCAGTTTTTCGGCTGCATCTACTAGCGCGCTGGACGGACGGATCCTTTGAGCTGCTGCCAGCTGGCGTGGAGGCAGCCAAGGCGGGCAGTGGGAAGGGCAGCAAGGGAGGGTTTGTGGAGGGGTTTGTGGAGTCTGATGAGGAGGGGAGTGAGGAAGAGGAAGGGGAGGACGGGGGTGGTGAGGAAGAGGCTGCTGCATAGTGTTTGATGATGTACTATGGTGGCACCAAAATGCTTGTTATGAGGAGTTGGTTGAGGTGTTTGTCAGAGGTCCACTGGGGATCCCCGATGATCCTAGGGAAGGGTTACAGGCACGTCGGCCTGGGGGGTTATGGGCGCACTCACCCGCTATATAAACAAGCCATTTTATCCCAGTGGTTAGTGACTGGGATTCTGACATGGTATCAGAGCGAAGGTCTCGGGTTCGATTCCCGGTGTGTGCACTTCGGGCATCCCAGTGCGGGGGGGTGTCAGAGGTCCACTGGGGATCCCCGATGATCCTAGGGAAGGGTTACAGGCACGTCGGCCTGGGGGGTTATGGGCGCACTCACTCGCTATATAAACAAGCCCTTTTATCCCAGTGGTTAGTGACTGGGATTCTGACAGTGTTTTCATGTGAAAATCTCCAAACATGAATTTAGGAGTGTCCATTTCTTCATAAAAAACCATCCCTTCTGTGAAAATGCATGAACTGGAACCTGTTCTTCGCGGAATTCCCTATGGACGTCAATTCTTCCAAGCAGCCTTAAACTCAAATCGAGCCGTCGATTATACACTCGTTTTCATTCCCCCAACACTCGCCTTGGATCATACACTAAAGTATTTCCCTTGAACAACACGGATAATATGACTCACACAGCACAGACTCAGAGCGTGGAACATCCTTTTGAACACAGCGTCGGTCGCTCAACTGCGACAGTAACCCTGTTTGAGTTGGTCGCAAATGAAATTCGTAGAAGAGTGACGAAGAATGGAAGCAGCGCCCAAGTTCCACAGCTTGGGCCATCGGTCACCCCACTTTTTGGATCACGCTGATACGACAAGAATTGACGATGTAGGCAGAAACATGCGACATGCAACCAGGTGTTGTCGAGGGTGATGTGCTGCATCCTAATTAGCAGCAAGGTGATTGACGAAGTTAGCGAATGTGTACCCTACAGGCTTTGCGTTTGTGGGCGACCTATGGTCCCTTCCCCAAATTTGCAGGGGTTTCTGATTTGCAGTTTGTGGTTTTCTGTGTTGCCTGGCGAACTCCGTCGCAAACGATTGACGAGCCCCAATGTTCGACCAGGCAACCGACCAATCACTTGTTCAAAAGGATGTTCCACGCTCTCACCGTAGAGTGCAGGCCTGCAGAACCAGCCCTCCACTATCCTACCCTACCCTCGCACCTTGACTGGGTTACTTCTGGTCCACGCGTGTGCGCCTTTCACCCGTCCCTCATGCTGCAGTTGAGCGCCTGTTGTCTTCCATACGCCATGGATCCGCCTTTTGCAATCCAGCATCCTTCAAGTCAACTCTTCTTCAGGCTCGAAGCTGACTGTGATTTTTAGCACGTGGAACTATATTGTACAAGCTACGAAACGGTGACGCAGGGCTGACAGCTTAGCTCCTGGCGTCCATCCATTTTACCAAAACAAGAGAAGAAACGATGGCGAGCGAACAAGTAACGATTCTCTTACCGCCGAAACCGGAATCCGGAACTTACATGCTCGATGGGCAATCCGGATCTCCTCTGACCGCTGCAGCAGACAACCAGCTCGCGAAACAGCCACGGCGAAGCAGCCCCTCGTCGCACCGATTCACTCCGCGATTTCTCGTGGGGCGAGTGCTGGGCGAAGGAGCGTACGGTGTAGTGGAGATTTGCCACGAGAGGCGCTCTCGGAACTCGCCACGTGGCAGCCCGAGGGTACACCTGTCCCCTTCTTCCGCAGCACCTGGTCAGGAGTATGCGAAGTCCTCCATCTGCCGTTTCGTTTATGGCGACGTCCATGCAGGCGAAAGTGGCGACGTTGGCGAAGCTTTCGCTTGCAAGACCGTGGAACGATCGGGAAACAGCGAGGAGGCGTGGAAGGCGAAAGCGACAGCGTTAAGGAGAGAAGGCAAAGTGATGAGACACCTAGGGAAACACCCGAATATCGTGGATTTGGAAGGCGTGTACGACAGCGACGACCGCGTGCGGCTGGTGATGGAGCTGTGCGACCGTGGCGACTTGCTCTCCCTGCTGCGGGGCAAGACGAAGAACTCCATTCAATCCGTGGATCAGCAGCAGAAGCCGAACCACCGGACATCCGAGCTGTCTTGGCCGTCACTGAAGAAACTATCTTCGTTCTGCAGATCAAGCTTTAGAAGCAGAACTGGTGAACGACCAACTGGTCTTCCTGAACACCTGGCGGCCGGCATCTTTTGGCAGCTAGTGACAGCTGTGCAGCATTGCCACTCGCACCGTGTTGTCCATCGTGACATCAAGCTGGAAAACGTGCTGCTGACGTCAGCTTCTCCGGCTTCCAAGCTCTCTGGAACAGGCACGTGCCCTTTTACAGTGAAGCTGGCGGATTTTGGCACAGCAACTATCCTCAAACCGGGCCTGGATTTTACGATGGGAAATGTCGGGAGCGGTGCGTATAAAGCACCAGAAGTCTCTCAAGACAGCTATCATGGCACCCCGGCTGATGTTTACAGCCTCGGGGTTGTCCTGTATGCGCTCCTAACCTCCACATTCCCGAATTTTGATGCAAGCAAAGACACGGTGACACACAGGAGTCCACAAGACTTCATTGACAATGAGTTGACAGTGCATCTTTCATCGGGTGTCAAGCAGCTGATTGCCGCAATGCTCACCATGGATCCTGCAAAGAGACCCACATGTGCACAGGTGCTGGAGCATCCATGGGTGCTTAACGGCAGAGGAGGTTGCTGACGTGTCATGAGTTACCAGTAACCTACTCTCACAGGCACTGATACACGGCTATTAAGATGGTCGACATGATGGTACAGCTGCTCGACAATAGCGTTTCACCTGAACATATACCGTACATCCGTGTGCTGCATTGGATGGTACCAGTACTGGATGCTCAGTCAACATGTGTTTCATTGGCTCAGCAGGGTGTTTGAGTTCATTCAGGAGTCAGGACCAGGGCTAATTTTTTGTTTTGGCCAACTCTTACGACCAGTGTTGCTCATATGCAAAAACCTTATAATCAGAGTAGATCATTTTGAAATTCCTGATCGGTCAGGGTTTTTGCAGGTTTTGAAAATTTTACCCTGGATCACCCTGTTCATCAGGGCATCAGGGTGATTTACCCTGATAAAATAGGCCCTGGTCAGGACCATGCTGTGGATTCAACATCTTACAACATACCGTAGTAAACATTCATTTCTCCATGAGCTCCCAACAAACCTGAGATACAGTCCTAATGGATGAACCTGGCTGGGTGGTTACCTTGGCAGAGAGAGAACAGCTTGAGTTGGCTGGGATGGTTGGCAAGGTGGTTAAGCCAAACCTTCATACTCCACAGAGCATAACATTTCCTCACAAAAGAGGTCCCAAATAGGGCACCTGACATTCTTACCCCACCTATAAGTCCATGCTGATAAAACTCATGAGCTCTACAAGCAATCATGAATACTACCAGTAATCCCTACTCCCCCCCCCCCAGAAAAGAAAAAGAAAAAAGAGAACCATACAGCAAGCCTTCAGCTCGATAGGTGCGCCCTAGTGGTTTTCACACCCCAAGCTGTTCATACATCAATGCCTATTGACAAGGAGCACATAGGAACACTCGCAAACTGCCGTGTAGACTGTAACTACGGTTGTACATTTCTAGGGTATCTTGAAACTGCTCCATGATCAATACTCCATTGACGGCAATTTTCCTCCTTTGGCCAAAATCTTCCGTTCCAGCTGGAAGGGCATGATTTAAAGTGGGAGGCACAGGTTAAAAGCAAAACGGTGTAAGTTGATCAGGCAGAGATGGACAAAATAGAAGGTTGGGATGAGAATTCACTGAATCAGTTGTGTGTGACAAGGATCGGGTGGAATCTAACAGCAAGATAAGCACAGAGTGGGCATGATAAGATAGTACAGGACGACCCATGATGGGATGACGAGTGAGATGAAGAAACAAAATCAAACCACGCTGAGAGGGAGGCACTAAAAGGAGCAGGTAGGGACTTCTAGAGTAAGAAGAGGGTGCAGATGAGAAGTTAATACACAGACAAAAGGTGCACGCACTTTGTTACCAAAACAAGCATACCAGAGACACAAGACAGCAGCACGCCAAAACGAGACTACACTACAGGCACGTTACTGTGTGACCTGGCCCATGCACTCCTTGCGCCCCTCACAACCACAGTTTGCACACCTTGGCCGAACATCAAAACATCCAAGGCAGTATGCTAAATTATTTGCAGCTTATACTCATCGACATCACCTATGGGAAGAGACTTCTGGCCGCGATCCATGCGTGCATGGAAACACGGGAATTAGGTGAAGTCAGATACTCTAAAAGCCCTTGACTTCCTCGCGAAAACACAGGACAGGAGCGGATGGAAGGGCAGCGCAGCTGACGCAAGGCCTACGACAATGCAGACACGAGGGCACTGAAGCGCTTAGTGGGTATAAGATATCGGAACATGCAACGACTTACCGACATCATGAGCTCGAGCTTGTCCTTCACAAGATTAAACTCATCCTTGATCTTGTCTAGCGAGCTCAAGCACCTGCATCATAATAGATGTGACAGAATAGAGAAAAAGATGTGACAGAATAGTCGTCATGCGTGACGTTTAATCCTCATACAGCCCCAAACGACGCTATCCCCAAAAACTACTTACTTTGCGCGGTTTCCTTCGTCGCAGTACCCTCTCATCTTGATGCATAATGCCTTCACTCGTTGTGCTCCAATGCTGCTCATGAACCAGATCTCAGTAATACGGCGTCCAATCACGGCTGAAATATAGACGAAACACGCGTGTATCAACTTACCTCGAACTACTACCCTTGAACTGGTGAACATGCGCATCCACTTTCTTGAAGTCAATTGGGTCTTCGTTACTGCGGTTTGCAGGCGGGTTCCAAAAGAGCATCGATTTCTTGCCGACAAACTTTTTGGCTTCTCGATGTTATTCTGCTAGGGTAGAATCTATTGTTTGCGCATGTTCCATAAGAAGAAACGGCATTTCACTCACACTTCTTGAGTAAGGTCGTCCAAAAGCTTCACGGAGTCTTCAAAAAATAGGCCAATGACCTCTCCGACGAACTCCGGATTGCTCTCGTCTTGCAATTGCTGAAGTTGGGTAAACTGATCATCGAGTATACCCTGGATGCATCAGAACATTGTGAGGAGAAAAAGTGGCACACTCGCTATACTGCTGAACGTCGAGCTTGCGATGAGTAATCGTATTAAACGGTATCAGGAGCATTAAAATACTCGCCACTACGGAAATCCTCCTGGTGTGTACTCGCCGGGGAACAAACCCTCACCATCATCCATGGTCAGTGACACCCAGCCGTAAACAAGCATGGTGTCTATCTTACCTCAGCAAACATGCTGTCTGTAAGCTCTGTCAACTGCTTCGTTAATTTGGCGATTTCATCTTCCTTCGATGCCTTTTTGCTCCTGCGATACATGGTCGAAACCCTACAGCACCACTACAGCAAGCTCCCACCAGTCAACTCCTCCCTAACTCGCGATGCAAAATGCAGTCTTCTATTCAACGTGATCCACGGCCTAATGACGAAGTCTTCTTTTTCGGAGTTACGAATGTGCATGTGCTGATGTCGAACTGCAACGATAGTGTCAAAATTCAGAGAACATCCGCCATTGATGAGAGGTAGGTGACTAGAAAACAACAAGCAGTATTCGTGGAATGGGGAAGAAGCGGAGTGAAGGATGATGCGCAGGACCAACATGAGCACCTCAGGGATGCCACGCTGGACGTGTGCGAAAACATGTTACCACACGACGAAGCATCCCCCCAAAGTTTCCTCGAGAATTCTCTTCCGCTTGAAACAAGTGCACCATTTCAACATCAGCCCCCGCAACACGGTTTGACGGTTCTGGGGCATCTCAGCCACACAGTTTCTTTCGGGCATAACTTTCTCTTCACAAAACTTCATGTTTGCATATAGCCACCATATTATCTTTGTCTTGCATCCACCACTTCACATCAGCAAACCTGTCTATGTAGTAAGCGAATTTGCATGAATGATTGATATGAAAAGAAAAAGCATTGGTGAGCTGGGAAATCCATGCACTCCAGTGTGAGGAGTGGAACAAACAATACTAACCAGATGCTCCAGTTCCCCTACCATCTCCTGTTCCTGGCTTTCTTCTTCTCCTTTCCTTGAACTTTGCCCATAACCATGTACCAATCAAATAAGCGCCTAAAACATAAACCTGCACGGACCAACAAATGAGTAAAGAATGAAAGTATAAAATGCAGAACCACATGATCTCAATGCACAAACGGCTTACATGCAAGCCGCAATACGAAATATCCACCCTTGAACGGGGAACATTACCTGCCACCGTACCCTACCTGCCACATGCCACCTTACCTTACCTGCCACATGGCAGCCCCCTGCTTCTCCTCCTCTGGAACTGCAAATCCAACTGACAAGCTCTCTGGTTTCCGCACAGGCATGTGCACTATAGGGGGTCCATTGACTATCTCGGCTTCTGGTAGAGATGCCGACACTGTGAAAGACTCAGGCTGCATGGAGGAAAGAGGCCATGAGAAAAAAAAGACTCACTTCTAACTGCAATTGTGAGGCTCTGCCAAATGGTGGACAAAAGTACACAATGAATAGACATTGAACAGGCCTTCCGGTGCTAAGCCTCACAAAACGACAATGTGAGTGTTGAGATGAGGAGGGAACAGTGCGAAGCCACCCTAATACTCGGCTTGTGATGTGATGCACGATGAATGAAATGCTGCAATCATGCCAGCGGACGCATGGGATGCTGCAATCATGCCAGTGGATGCATGAGATGCTGCAATCATGCCAGTGGATGCATGAGATGCTGCAATCATGCCCTTGCACACCACACAGAACTGAGCGCAAAGAACTGACTCATGCACCCACCCCATTGCTGACACCAAAAACGACCATGCTAATGTTCACGCACACCCTGTGCCATGTTCTTTGATTTATCCAAGAAACAAAATGTCAAAATACGCCATACCTCAGAATTCCCCTGGCAAGGCAAAGAGTCCTTGCTCCCTCCCTTATCTGGAGCAGCCATCGTGGAAGCTTACCCCCTCACAAACCCAAGCCTGACTGCACTAGAATTAGACAAAACAAGGGGGTACAAGAGCAGGGTTCTCGCTATAGACCTGCACGTGAAGGAGTATGGGTGGCAGTGGCAGGTAGGAGAACAGGTGGGTGGGTGTTGGGTGTGGTTAGGACGGGAGCGACTGTGGTCAGAAGCAGTGTGGGCGTGCGTGTGTGTGTGCATCTGCAAAAAAGTGATGAGTGTATCCAAGACACAGCGTTATAAGAATTTTTTAGAGGGGCGTGCATTTGGTGTATATGGGATTATTTTTTACATTACAAACAGGTGCGCACCCAGTGCAGCACACCTGAGCGGTATGTTCACCAGACACGATCCAATTCCTCCCAGCGTTCACCTTCAACTTCTATCCCATCGACACACTGGCTAGAAAGGACAGAAAATCAAAACGAAACAAAAGAGAACAAGAAATTGGAAAGGGGGGGGAGGAAGGAAAGAGGACGGAGGAGGGGGCAACGCGGTGAAGAACTTGCGCAAGAAAAGCAAAACTACACGGGCAATATTATCGGAGAAAAGAGGAAAGAGGTGAGACGGAGGAAGGAGAAAAGCGGCGATGAAAAGAAGAAACCAGCGAATAGACGAAAGAGGATGGAGACATCTAAATTTGCATGCAACTCAGACCACTGGTCTATGAATTTCGACGCTAGACAGCAGAGATGATGCCTCGCGGATACCATGGCTGACGCGGCAACGTCTGCGACAGGATACGGACGCGCTTTGAGTGCCCTAAAAACAGGTTGGAATAGCAGCGTGCGTAACGAGGCACCTGAAGAAACACTGCACAGCGCGGATTTATGACTGACCTGGAAAATACGAATTAGTCCGACCGTGAAAGCAGGCACAAATGATCATACGCTTGAGCGGCGTGAACAATATGCTCGATATTATCACTCTCGAAACCGATCCTCTACAGAAGCGTCAGTGTTCATTGGAAGGAAAAACTCCCCACACTAGCAACAGTGGAATAAAAATACACATATACCTCACTCCTACCAAATCTGCTTTTTTTTTTTTTTTAAGGTGCATTCAGGTGCACAAAGCACTGGACGTTACATGTCCTTATCACTATTACTCGCAGCCTCCATTATTGGATAGACCAACAAGCTCTGGAATGGCTAAAAATGCCACAGCACACAAGCCATGGCTCCTAACCTACACATGTGGCAACCATGAAATGCCATTACAATATTAACCACCCTATGTTGACTATCAATGAAAATACTGTCAAAAAGGACTCACATCCCTATCAATCCTAACACCATCACTCCATATCTCCTAGCACTGGGCAGTCGCACTGTGCACCGCTGCAACCGTCTTGTGCTCGTAACCAAACCCATCCTGGTAACCATCCTGTTGCTGGCAGAACCGGTGCGGCAGGCATGCTTTCAAATACGTCTCCAGCTGTTGCGTGTACAGCTCAGGGAATGTCCGAAAATGGTCCACATGCGGCGAACATTCAAATCGCATCGACATCACCCTGTGGCCCTGGGCCCGCTGCCCGAGGATGAATTTTTCGACAGCGGGCAGGGGAATGACAATGTCTGCTTCACTGTAGAAGTACAGCTGTGGGCAGTTGGGCTGGTGGTGGTGCAGAGTGTTAGTCACCTCCCCAAGCTTCCTGGAAGATTCATTTCAGAAGAGGGCAGAGAGGGATGATGGGGTTGACAGGAGAGAGTTACATAGGAATATGACAAGACCGCAAGCGAGAAAAGAGAGGGACATAGAAGAAATGGGTCAATAATGAGAGACATCCGGAGTTGATCAGGTAAGTGCGGCATGGCTAATATTCAACTGGCTGACAGTGGCAAGCACACTGAATGACTGACTGACCGACCAGGCTGACTGATCAACCAACTGAGTGAACCCACCCTATGACGTAGGGGATGCTCAGAGCCACTTGAAAGATGAGCCACAGCGCCGTCACCAGCACACTCTCTAGAGCATCTAGCCGCACCTTCACCACCCTCACCACCGCCACTGCCTGACTCACTGGCTGACTGGCTGAATGACTGACTCACTGACTCGCTGAGTGAACCCACCCTTTGACGTAGGGGATGCGCAGAGCCACTTGGAAGATGAGCCACAGAGCTGTCACCAGCACACTCTCTAGTGCATCCAGCCGCACCTTCACCACCCTCACCACCGCCACTGCCACACGCCCACATGCCGCCACTGCCCTCCCACACGCCTGGACCATGCTGCTCGCTGCCCCGCTAGCCCTGCCTCTCCCCCCTCGCTGCCACCACCGTTGCTGCCGCGGCTGCTGCTGCTGCTGCTGCTGCAAGTGAAGGCCACTCCCTTTCTCCTGCTCTTTTCTCAGCTCTTTTCCCAGCACCAGCTTTTGCTCCTGCTTCTCTGCTTGCATTCTGTACACGGCAATCAGCTGCTGCTGCAGCAGCCACTGCTGTTGATCCTGCTGAGGAACCCCTGTAAAAGCACATCCGTTAACACCACAGTTACCAATACCAGCACTAGCACCAGAACCAATCCCTTCTCGCATGCCTCTATCCCCCCCACCACCTGCCACTGCCACCACAGCAGCAGCAGCAGCAGCAGCAGCAGCAGCACTCCCCCTTGCCTTGCTCCCACATGCCTTTAATCTCTCAGCCTCATCAGCCCGCCACCACACCAGCTTACACCCACAGGGAGCAGGCGAAGGAAACACCCCCTCCCCGCCACCCATACCACCTTGCGCTTCTCCTTGGCCATTCCCTTCCCCTTGCCATGGGCCAAGGCACTCCATTCCTCCCTGCTCTTGCCCCAGCCCGGGGTAAAGACTCTCACAACTGCCGCTGCAGTCACTCCGAGATACAGTCACACTGGTGAACGCTGGAGCAGAGGCAGCAACAGCAGCAGATTCTACAGAGGCAGTACCCGCAGCAGCAACACCCCCAGCAGCAGCAGCAGCAGCAGCAGGAATAGCACCGCCGCCACCGCCACCAGCAGAAGAAGAAGAGGCAGCGGGGAGGGTGCTGGCTTGGAGCAGCGCGGATTTGAGCTGGGAGCAGCCGACGACAGAGTCAATGACAAGCGAGCCCATGCGTGTCGCTGCACTGCGCTTCTGTAGAATGGCCGCTGAGAACCCGCTCGCCCACACCTTGGGGGTTTGGAGGAATGCGACGGAACAGGGAGGGGAACAGCACAGGAGGGGAGGGGGAGGGGGAGAGGGGAAGACGTGATGGGGGAGAGGGGAAAAAAAAGGGGCTGGAAGAGTGGAGGGAAGGGGAGTACGGGCAAGGCAAACAAATGACGGCCGAAAAGGAAACTACTGTTATCCGGTCTGGCAGATGTGAGCCGGTGCAGGTGCAGGTGCAGGTGCAGGTGCAGGTGCAGGTGCAGGTGCAGGTATGAGTTCCGAAGCCATAATGCGCTGGCAGGAATAATGGCTTAGCTCGCACTGTTCCACAGAGGTGGATTAGAGGGGCAGGGGTGGGGATGGGGGAAAGGGAGAGTGGGAGGGGGACAGGGCGAAACATGGGCAGTGTCTGAGAGCGCTATTTACTGCTTCAACCTTGCAAACCCTTGCGCCCTCCGTCACAAAAGGGATCCGTTTTTCCATTCTAAAATCTTCTTCCAGTATGGGCGCGGAGTCCACAACTGATCTGAACTTCACTTTGAACCTTTATCCTCGCTATAAGGCCTTGCACAGTCTGGTAAGAGCCCCCCCGATCTCACCTTGGGATCTTCTTCCAGTATGGGCGCGGAGTCCACGACGCACCCCTTTATAATCCCATCCACCGCCGCTTTCCCGTACTTGCGCTGCAGTCGCAGCAGCGCCGCGCCGTACGCGATCCATCCCGTGTTGCTGAACGTGTGGAACAGCAGCGTGCGATGCCCGCCGCCGCCGAGCCCGCCGTGAATCGCGCCATGCGTCCCGCCGCGGTTCGCGCCCTCGAGGAGCCATCTCTCAAGCTCCGTGACTAGATCGTCGACGTGCAGCTCCGCCTTTTCGCCGAGCTGCGGAAAGGTAACACGCGAAAGAAGTATTAGCGAAAGCAAAACAGAATATCATATACCCCTGTTCACCCTACTGCCACACTCGCAGGAGTTACTCTTGATACAATCACTTAGGCGAACAGTCACTCACCCTCACGCTGAATAGACTTTTGAGTCGACTCAAAAGTCAACTCGTGACAGTCACTCACCCTCACGCTGAATATGTCGGTAAACGGAATGACGAACCCGATCGCATCAATACCCCTCGCGTTGTACCACGTGGCATACTGCCGCATGTGCCGCTGCTGCGCGCCGAGCCATCCCAAAAGCACCACCGCCGTCCGCCCGTCCCCTTCCGCGCCCGCGCAAGCCCCCGTTTCCCCCCAATTCCCCGCAGATCGCGCTCCCCTTACCGTCCCTCTCCCGCCCAGCCAAGATGCGGAGGCGTCGCCATTAAGGGAAAACGGCATCACCGACGGAACCGTCGGCATAGTGTCAATTTTGACGAAACCAGTCGGCTCCCCACGACCCTGGACGGAGAAGTTAACGGAGCCATCGATCTTCAAAGGGAGTTCCGCGGATGCGGCGACCGTACCAGAAGGATAGTTGACAGAAGATTCCGCTTGTCCGTTTGTGGGCCAGTTCGCAGCAACGCTGCTGCATGGATAATGGACGATCACGCGCGGCTTCTCCTTCTGAGTCTGATTGTCGCTCTCACTCTTACTGTCTAAAAGGCTAGCCTTTTCCTGGTTGGATAGAGAGGAGGAAGAGGAGGATGCAGATGAGGGGGTGCCGAAGAGCGGCAAACACGGCGGCGACGCTCGCGCTTTCGCCATTGGATCAGCAGCCTGTTGCTCCTGCTCCTGCTTCTGCTTCAGTTGCTGCAGCTCCTGTTGCTGTTGCTGACTCCGCTTCGCGGTCGCAAGACGTTTCTCTGAATCGCCGCAATCAGCGCCGATCGCGTCGGTTGCGACGGTTGCGACGGCCGCTGTCGCCGCTGCGACGAGCGTTGGTGCAGAGTACGATAAATACAGCAGCACAGGCGTCGCGAACCTGAACGAGATCTCAGGAATGGAACCTGATGTCGAAGCGCCCGCACTCAAAACGATCGAGAGAACAAGCGAAATCACGACTTGCGCGATCGACGGCGCGCCGAGCGGACCGGCAACCTCGGTGGCGAGATAAGTGGGTGCTAGCATGCCATTCCATACGACATGCAGCCAGCCGACACCTAGGGAGCTGGTCAGCGGCTGGAGAAGACCGAGGAGGAGGAGGAAAGTGGCGAGGTAAATCGAGAGCTTGCGACGAATGACGGGGAGCGTAGACACAACTGTGGCAATGGCGGTCAGAGCCGTCGTCAGCATGGCTACTGGCTTTCTGTAGCCTCGGAGTTTCCGGCGCTGGCTTGCGAGGCACCCGAGGCTTTGGGAACTCCCCAAACGCGACGCTGCCGAAGCTGCTGACACTTCCAGGCCAGCCTCCAGCACCTAGGACCTGCTCTGGCACCTCCTCGCCTAGCCTTTGCGCGCACCAATCCCGTTTATCCACGCCCTTCTCCGAAAGGTTTGCCGCTCAACTGCAGCCACAAGGTTGAACAACTGACGCCTTTGGCTCGGGTAGAGAGTACCTACGACTAAACAAGTTTCGCATGGCGACACTTGCTTTTCGAATCAGCGCGCCTTCATCGGGGTTTTGATCAACAAGAACTGGATCGTAAGGGCTTGGCGATAAGCGGAAGCAGAGGATGAGCTCCTCTCTGCGATTCGGTTTCGCGTGAGCGATAGGTACACAGTGTCTGTTTTAATCGCCTGTTAGAAGCCCAATCCGCTTTATTGGCAAGCTTTGGGCGACCACTTCAGTTCCGTCGTCGCCCAGGGTATGGATCGCACAGAAGTGTCGCCCAAGATGGTTGTGCGTTTCGGACTCCAGCCACACTGCCACCTCACTCATGCGACAAACATCAAGGGTATCCCAGCCCAGCCCTTGGTACAAATAGCGGCGACTGGCTGTATAAACAGTTTCGCCCTGCTTAGCGAAGTCCTAATGGAGGGTGTTACTACGACCTCAAGCACGGTCTCACGAAGGCTTTCGTGATCTCAAGGCAGCTTGTGATTGGCGAGGACCCTCCTACGACAGATTTGTATAGCGATTTTTTGCCCTGGCTGGCGGCTCCCCCTATACGAATCGCGACTGCGAACGAAGCACACTTGGGACGCCACTCTAACGCGGTCGTAAGTGGTCGCAGATTGTCGACAGGAAGTCGTGAGGGTGGGCTTGGTGGAGGCTGAACCAAGCGTGCGACCTTACCGAGGGCGGTCTGGGCGTGAACGTGAAGTGCTCTTGCAACGAGGTTGAGCCAAGTTGGAGTGGTGCATGCCAAAGGATCACCTATCACGTGTAAGATAACAAAAGCAGAAGTTGAAATTGATTAAAATAGTTCGTAAGGTACACTTCGACAATTCTAGAATCGTATTTCCTTTATAAATGTTGCACTGGCCAGTGAAATGATTCAAAAAGTAAATAATAACACGATTTAAAAACGACAGTGGTTTGAGCGTCCTTGAAACGTGTTTCACATGCTGTGAGCAAGGTTGAACAGTGTTAAGTTTGATTGATAGTACCTAGCATACAGTGCAAAGAAGGTGGAAGTCAATCCTAAAGCGGTTTCCCGAATACAGGGCCATGCTTTCCCTTACGATTTTATCCACACAGACGTCATCACGCCTCCTCCCCGTCTTCGTCTCTTCGTCACTTCCTCGAATTTCATCCACCTCTTCTCCTGCACTCGCGCTGGGAAGCTAGTGATTTTTTTGTGCGTTGGGAGCTTGCAGGAGCGTGGCAGGAAGACCAGTTTACTCAGATCCGACAAAAAATAGAAAGTGCAACATCCAGCCATCGCGTCCTGGAAGCATCGGATATTGCGGCTCTTTTCTTCCAGACTCCCTTGTCCGATCGCGGCTCGCCATAGCTCTCAGCTTTCACGATAGCGGCATCTAGGTATAATCTGTTTTGAAACGCGTTCGAACTGCATTAGGCCGTTACAATGTACCAGCAGTTGTTACACAATCTCGCGTCGGCTCTCGGCATGAAGCCACCGCAGGCAACCATCATAAACCCGACAGGTCCCGCTCACCTACTAAACTGGGACTTCGAAGTCACTTTTGGCTCCAAAACTTTCCGCGGGCGGTCTGAAGCTTGCCAGGTCATCTCCAGGGACAGAATGGCTGGGGGTGAGCACCTGCCACTCGGCTTTAAGAAGAAGGACGCGCAATTGCTGGCCTACCGAGCAGCGTTTCGGAACGCGTTGTTGGGAACAGTTTCCTGTCCTGACGCGCAACCGCCTGCAGACGCCGACCGCGTAGCAGAGCTGGCGAAGGAAATCGCGAAAGCGGAGGCGAAAGGCCTGTTACAAGTCGACTGCAGCCGCATGTTGCAAGGCATGCCCGCCTACACGACAGCCGGCTATGGACCATCACATTGCCCCTCGTTCACGACCACCGTTGAGTTACCCAACGGTTGGGGCAGTTACACCGGCAGTTCCTGCCCGACGAAAGGCCTCGCTGAAAAAGACGCAGCTTTTGAGGCGTGGTGGGGTTTTTTTATTGTGGGACCGTTTGTGCAAGGCGGAGAAGATGGCACTCTTATTGTGGTGGATCTGACAGAAGGGGAGCCGGAAAATGGGGAGGAGGAAGATGCAGCAGCTGCACACGCGCTGGGCGCATTGTCAGGACCTTCGGGAGGGGTTCTGGCGCAGGTAGTGAAGCAGGAAGGATGAGGAGAGTCTTAAGATCAGCAGGAAGCGGATAAGGTACGCTGCTGAAGTTGATGCTGCTGCTGCTGGTGCTGCTGCTGAAGATGCTGTGGCTGCGGCTCTTCAGGTTCAGAGGGGAGGATGGATAACGAAGCGGCCTAGCCGCAGAAGGTACATTTAGGTTATGTACGAGATGTCAGCAGGGAGTAACATGGAAGGTGCGCCTAGCCTACTGCAGCTGTTGGGGGCATTGTGCTGTGCCTCTGTACAGGAACAGCGCTGTAGAGATTTGTGAGGCCGCAGTTCAGCCAACTGTGATCATTAGGAATTTTATTTTCCTTTACTGCTGAAGCATGGCATGTGACATCGTCCATGATGAGTTTGACTTGCATAGATTTTATCTACGCTGCAGGATGATGGCTAAATTGTTGAAAATGTAGGGGCATGGATGGCCTCCACTGCCTTCCTCACCTTACTCATTCACTTGTGGCTAAAGTTTAGTTACAGCAGAATGAGACTACTGCGGTACTTCCTATAGTTGTCTTCATACACAGGCTCCCTTAGACAAGAGGATGGCAGATGAGTTGCCAAGAACAACTAGGGCCTCAGATTCGTTTTGGGCGACCCTGAGCACTCAGGGTCCCTTGGGGCTGTAACACTGATCATCAGGGTTGCCTGTGGAGTAACACTGATTTCTCAGGGTTGTTGAAAAAGAAACACTGATCAAACAGGGTGCCTTGTAAGAAAACATTGATCAGTGAATCTACAGCCACAATTAAAATAAAAGCGAATCTCTTTGCGCCGTTTGCATCAGCTTGTACAGCCAATCTCTTTGCGCCGTTTTGCCAACCCAGCACGAAATTACCCCGTTCAGCTGTATCTGGGCGAGCCGCATGGAGGCGTCGGTGCAGGGTGGGTACATGAATGGTGACGGCGCGCAAAACAGCGAGAATCACGAAGTTTTAGGTTTCAGGGTCGTCTCCGATACAACACTGTCAAATGTTGTAGCCTATAGTGAGGTTTGTCTTAGGGGGTACAAAACTTAGGGTTAGCTATATGTACCCCAACCAACATCAATGCTTCATCCATTCTTCATTTTGACATGGTATCAGTTAGGTTAGGATCCTGTGGGATCCCGTTCCTCCGTTCTCCATTCGAGCCTCCCGAGCCTGATCCTAGCTCTCTTTCGTCCCGGTTCCGTTGTTACCGCGCGTAGTGCCGCGCCTAGCGCCACTCCTAGCGTCGCGTCCTGCCCGCCCTTTCCCCCTCGTCGCGTCCCTTTCACCCCGTCGCGTCGCGCCCTTTCCCCCCAGTCGAGTCGCGCCCTTTTCCCCCCGTCGCGTCGCGCTCTTTCCCCCCGTCGCGTCGCGCCCTTTCCCCCCGTCGCGTCGCGCCCTTTCCCCCCGTCCCGTCGCCCTGCCCCGTCCCGTCGCCCTGCCCCGTCCCGTCGCCCTTCCCCGTCCCGTCGCCCTGCCCCGTCGCGTCGCCCTGCCCCGTCCCGTCGCCCTGCCCCGTCCCGTCGCCCTTCCCCGTCCCGTCGCCCTGCCCCGTCGCGTCGCCCTGCCCCGTCGCGTCGCCCTTCCCCGTCCCGTCGCCTCTGCTTCGTCGCGTCGCCCTGCCCCGTCGCGTCGCCCTGCCCCGTCGCATCGCGCCCGCCCTTTCCCCCGTCCCGTCGACCCTACGCCCTGGCCCGTCGCCCTAGCCCGTTCTTCCGCTGCGACTAAGTCCCCCCACCTGAACCCTAATTTGCCTCTTACCTCCTGCTGTTACTCGCCTGCTCGTTCGCGTTAGTTCTCGCTATGGCGACTCCGCGAGTTCTTCGTTTCGACGCTGACGGTAGACCTCTTGACTTTTCCGTCTGGCTTCTTCGCGCTCGCCGTCTGTTAGAGAGTCAAGTCCAGGGGGGCGAGACCCTCTGGTCGCACGCTACTGGTGACCTCCCCGAGCCCCCCGAGCCTGCCGCTTTAGGTCCTGCCCCTGACGATGCTGCTACGGCTCGCTTTGCCCGTCAGCGCGCTGACAGGACGGCTTGGACGTCGCGTGACGCTGCGGCCTGCATCGCACTCAGCAGCCTCCTCCCTGAGTCAGAGGAGGTTCACTTCACTCAGGTTCGCACCGCTGCTGCGTACCTCACTGCGATTAAGGCCCGGTACTCTACTCCCGCTACTGTCTCTCTTGGCCGTCTTTTCCTCCCGTTCCTGTTTCCTGATCTCGCCTCGTTTGAGCGCTCTGCTGACTTGATCGCTCACCTCCGCTCGCTCGACGCTAGTTACCGCGCTGCTTGCACTGAGGCACAGCTTGCACTGCTTCCTCCCCCTATGGCGATTACTATCTATTTCATCGCCACTAGCCTCCCTGACCGCCTTGCCTCCGTTCGCGACGCGCTTCTGCTGAAGCACCCTAGTGAGCTCACCGTCGAGGTCCTTGAGTCTGCACTCAAGGACGTCGAGAGCAACCTTCGCTCGGTAGCCGCTGCCTCTGGTGCTGTGCCCCCCCCACTCTTCCACGGGTGCACAGTCCCGCAGTTACCCACCTTTACTGCCTCACTTGCCACTGCCGCTACTGACGCGACTGCAGCTGCTGTTACGACTGCGTCGCGGTCCCGCGGTAGGA